AGCCATACGCCACCCAAGACAAGCATCATTGCCTCACAGCCCTAGCACGCCCAAGACCCCCGAAACCCCCTATCTGCTTACCACAAGGCCGAATCCGCTCATCCCCCTCGGCTAAGTCCAAGTATCCCGTCCGTCAGGGAGGCCCCCGGGACACTACCGGGTCCCATCTTCCGCCCCCCCCAATATCTAAACACCTACCAATCCCCACTTCCGGGCTAATCGGGGGCTCCTCGCCGATATTCGCCGGTACTTCGCGGCCCGTCAATCACCGTGAGCCTCATTCTCCTGCCTCGTACCACTCACGCGGGAGGGACTGGAACTCATCAACCCGGGGGAACGCCGTCATCTCAACAGGGTCCTGGATCCCCAGGCTCCGTAGGAATTCCCCAGGATCGCCGTCAATGTGTAGGGTCTTGGTGCGCCCTTCCTGGAACGCCAATAGTCGAAAGGGGAAGCCCCATGCATACTTCACCCTGTGCTTCTGCAAGATTTTCGTCACCGGACGCCACGATCGCCGCATCTGAAGAGTCGCCGGTGTTAAATCCTGGAACAAGGTGAGTTCCACGTCTCCATATTTAATTGGGCCCTCCCGGCTGCGTTTCATAAGGGCTTCCTTCGTCTGGAAGTAAAGGAATTTAATTATTATGCCTCTGCCCGATTTGGCGGAGCGCCCTATGGGCCCTTTCAATGTGCCATTGGTGTTCTGGCACCTCCGGGATAAGTGGCTTTAAAATTGTAGTTACCACCTCCGTCAGGGATCCCTCTCCTTTCCTCTCAGGTAAACCCCGAAGCCGAATATTGTTTCGTCGGGACCTATTTCCCATATCCTCTAGGGTAGTCTCCACCATCGTTAGCCTCGAGGACAGCTTGTTAATATACGTTGTAGCAGTGTTGTGGGCCACAACTGTGGACTCCACCCGCTGTTCGAGCTCCGCTGTCCTCGCTCCCAAGGCATGGATCTCCGCCTTCACCTCCCTGGTGTTTCTCGCGATCTCGGTGGCGAAGTAGCAGCGTACCTTTGCCAAGATCTGCGCTGTATTAGTCTCCGATGCCTCCGATGATGCCACCACGCCAGGGCTAGGAGGTGAGCGTGGCCCTCTTGGGCTCTCCCGTCTGCTATCTTGAGGAGTAGATCTCATGGCATGGGATGCCGCGAACATCTCTGACACCGTGGTGCCCTGTTCCTCCAGCTTTTTGGGCTGTTTCTTTGGAGGACGTTTGTCCATGTCGGCAGCCCTGTAAGTTACACAGGTCAGGTTAGTGTTTTAAATGTTAAAGTTAGTTATTGGCTTTGTGGTCCCAGCGGAGCTTCACTTGGAGACGTCCATCTTGCTCCGGCTGCAAACCACGCCCCCACCACCAAAGAGTTTATGCCAGTCAATATATTGTAAAGCTGCCCTTAACTTATATAAATTGGCCTTTTTAAAATTACATGTTTTAGTATACCCCATGTGCTTTTGTTTTTTTTTTTAGTTTATTTCAAAGGACACTATATTGTGATCACTATTTCCCAAGTGCTCACCTTCTTGAATGTTGGTCAAAAGATCAACGTTGTTTGTTAGAACCAGGTCCAGACAAGCATCCTTTCTAGTTAGTGCTTGTACAAGTTGTGACACGAAGGTGTCATTTAACAAGTTTAAAAACCTAATTCCCTTTACTGAGCTACTAGTCCCTCTGTCCCAATTTATGCCCTGGTAATTCAAATCTCCAATAATTCATGTGTTACCCAGATTTGCAGCTTTCTCAGTTTGCTCAAACAGCTGTTGTTCCTCATCAATATTAACATTAGCTGGTTTATAACATATCCCAACCAATAGTTGGTTTCCCTTCTTTTGCCCCAAGCAGATATTTACCCATAAAGCTTCCACATTTTCCTCATCACATTCCACTTGCTTAAGATTTGGCTTTAATTCATGGTTGAGTGGTTATACAAACATACCTCACCACCTTTCCTGTTTTTTCTGTCCTTCCTAAATAGTGTGTACCCATTTAAGTTAACTGCCCAGTCATGTGTCTCATCCCACCATGTTTCAGTTATGCCTATTATGTCATATTGTTTAGTGTATGCTATTGCCTATAGTTCCCCCATTTTGTTATTTAGGCTCCTTGCATTAGTAAGCATACATTTAATATTGTATGCTTGTCACTTGTACTTTTTGTGAATTGTCATTATATACCTTCTCTGTTCTAAGCTTTCCCCTCTTTCCCCCACCCCCATTATACTGCGCATTTTGTAGGCTGCTATGACCCTCCCCCCCCACTACTCGTTTAAAATCTCCTCCAACCTTCTAGCCATCCTATCCCCCAGCACTGCCAACCCTCTCCCGTTTAGGTGCAGTCTTGAGATTCAGACCGACAGACAGCTCTCACATGTCTGAAGACCAGAAGACTTTTCCAACATTCAGAGTTTTAAGACTACTACTCTTCCCTCTACATCATGTGGAACATCTTTTAAACAGCAAACCCAAATGCTCATCAAGGCCGTATTGACAGCTACCTCACAAAACAATTGACCTCAGTTCTAACATCAGAGGAAAAGCAGTCCTTAGTTTGAGTTTGTTATCACGTTGGAGCAAGATGCTCTTAAAGCCACCCTATTGGATAAAACCCAAGGACCAGATGGCCTATCAGTCTGATATTAAAAGAGCAATGTAAATCTTCTTGCCACACCATTTCTTGAATATTGGAATGCTCTAATGCATGGAGACACAAGTTCACCTACATAACCTAATGGTGACCATTATGGTCTTCCTGAAACTGGAAAATGATCCCTAGTTATAGGCCAATCTCAATCAATGTGGATCTCAAGCTGTTGGCAAAAATCCTGGAAAACTGCCTAAAAAAACACATTCCCTGCCTTATGGGTACATATAAAGTTGGCTTTGTACCAGGCAGAGAGGAATGAAATAGGACTACCACGGTAGTTAACCTTATCCACAGAGTCAGCCTCTAGGGATACACAGAAGAAGCGTTTGATAGGGTTCACTGGACTTTTCTGTTTTCTGTCCTACAACATCTGGGTCTAGGGCCTAAATTGCTTGGTTGGGTAAAAGCTCTCTTTTCTGCACCAACTGCTAGAATGAACTTAAATGGCTCCTTGTTGGAACCGTTCAATATTACAAATGGTATTAAGCAGGGGTGTCTCTTCTCCCTACTGCTTTTTGCTCTTGCACTAGAACCTTTCCTATAGAACATTAGTCAACATCCTTTCATTACACGGCATCACCACTCCTGTAGGAGAACACAGAGTTTGTGTGTATGCAGATGACCTCTTAATCCTGATTACACAACCATTGATAACACTGTCACACATTGTACGAGAATTACAACAATATGGTTAGTAACCTCAAGATTAACATTAGAAATTCTAAACATCAATATACCCACTAATTTCAGAAACAAATTGGATCAATCTTTTCCCTTCTGCTGGCAGAGAAGCAAACTTCAATTTAGAAACATAGAATGTGACTGCAGATAAGAACCATTCAGCCCATCTAGTCTGCCCAATTTTCTAAATAATTTCATTAGTCCCTGGGCTTATCTTATAGTTAGGATAGCCTTATGCCTATCCCACACATGCTTAAACTCCTTTACTGTGTTAACCTCTACCACTTCAGCTTGAAGGCTATTCCATGCACCCACTACCCTCTCAGTAAAGTAATACTTCCTGATTTTATTTATAAACCTTTGCCCCTCTAATTTAAGACTATGTCCTCTTGTTGTGGTAGTTTTTCTTCTTTTAAATATAGTCTCCTCCTTTACTGTGCTGATCCCCTTTATGTATTTGAATGCTTCTATCATATCCCTCCCGTCTTGTCTTTCCTCCAAGCTATTCATCTAGACCTACAACTCACAATGTCTACCAGAGCTGTGTGTGACAAACACTCCTTCCCACGTACGTTTGCTACGGACTTCTGGAGGAGTATAGAAGCCAACCTCCTGCCCACCTACTATGGTCCAGGTCTGGAACACAATTTGGGAGTTACCCTGCCCAGCAGCCACTAGTAGCTTTCCCTGGGTGCCCCTGGTTTGGCACTTTCCCTTTATGCGAATAGAACCGAACGCTGTCTGTCTGGTGGCCATTCGCATGAACCAAACATACGGATAGTCCCAGCGGTACTTAGCCTCGACTGCTATGGAACAAAATTTGGCATGAGGACTTTGTGGGTTCCCGGTCACCTCAGCGGGACTTAGCTGCGAATCGTATGGATCTGTTTTCAGCATGAGGTTCCCGGACAACTTAGTTCGCAGTTTTGAACCACTTTGAAATCCACCAGGAGAGCGCTTTTTGGAGGGAAGGTGCCAGAGACGAAGGGGAACAAACGCTACCTAAGAGCCAGCTGGAGCACCCTGTATTGCAGCCGCAGGAACTCCCGAAAGTTGACCTGCAAAAGCACAAAAAGCCCTGGAACTATTTGGGTACAGGACCATGTGTGCGGCCAGTCAGAACTTTAACATGGTGGCGTTTCCCCTACACTGCATGGATCTGAGCGCTTGTTGGAGAACTTGGGTGCTCAGATCAGGGCTATTTAAACAATGTATTATTTGTGGGGTTATATTGTGTTTTTATTATGTTTGGGGGTATTTGTATGTTTGTTTGCCTCTCTGTTCTTGAGAGATAATTAGCTTACCGGTCTGTAACGCAATTATCTCCTAGGCCCAGAGATTATTGGGAGGGGCTTGTGGTGAAGATAATGGAGATGCCCTGCTGGGGTCAGTGTATAAAAAGGCTGCGTTTGGATGCATTAAACTAGTTGTACTTCCAGAACTATGTGTCGTCTAGTTACTGGGAGCGGAAGGGCTGTAATCATTGCTCAGCACCTTGATTCAGCGGGGAAAGTCCTTGTAAACAACACAACAGGGGGGAGAGTCAGTACTAGATAACAAAATCCCTCTTAGACCCTTTATTTTTTTTAAAATTCTTTATTTATTTCAAGACACGACATCGTGAAACGATACATATATATCAAGATAAGGTTATGCATAAACAGGTATGTAAACTGTATATTAGGCGTTGTTACAATCACATAATAGGTCAACAGTCCCGTTCGCCCATATCTCGTGACTAGATATCTCTAAATGAGTTTACATTTCGACAGTTCTCTTCCGTTTGTATATTTAGATATCCCGCCTGGTTTTATATAGTATTTAAAACAATTAACAGATAACACATAATATGTAAAATAATGCCTCTTACACCCTTTAAAAGCAAGATGTAAGAATAGAAAAAGAAGGTGAGGGTTGTGCCAAAAGTCTCGTAGCAATAAATATACAATAGAAAACAGATCAGTTGGTCTAGGTGATTATACAACAGATAAATGGTTAGTCTCACTAAAATAACGGTGTTATCCTCAGGAGTTGATCTGTCCAGATGATAAAATATTCATATAAAAGTCTCACTAATATAACAGGATAAAATAGGGGTACAATCCTCAGGAGTTGATCCGTCTGGATGGATAAAATATCCATATATGTGGAGAGACAAGCGGACATACGACAAACAGCTGATAGTGTAATATGTCAAAATCCAAGGGTAAAATGGATAAAAAGAAGGTAGTAAACTCACATTTAAAATAGCTTAAACCAGCTCTGGAGTGAAGGGCGTTAAGCGATACAATCCCCGCTATGGGATACAATGGAGAGGTGTGTCCGTCAGTCCGGTCTAAATATCCAAAGTTACAGGTATATAAAAGATTATAATAGTGCTCTCAAGTTGTAAAAAATGTGGTATAAAATTATACTCACAAGTGTAGAGCAGAAGATACTGCTCTATTGTAGTAGCGTTGGTAGAATGATCCCCATGTAGGATTTCTTTGAATACAGGATACATAAAAATACCAGCAATAAATGGTAAAAAGAGTGCATATAAATTACAATAAAAAGAGAATTGGTACAGCTTTAAGCAACCTAAAAACTTTTATTGCTAAAATACACAAATAAAAACCATTCACGCGTTTTGCCTCACAGGGCTTTTTAAAAATGAGCCCTTAGAGTGGCCGGATTTACCGTATTACAAGAAAGACTCAAAGTCAGGAATATCCGAGGGCAGGGCATAGATATGAATACACGAAAAACAGGTCAGTATAAAAGAAACACACAAGTCAATATACAAGCCTGGTCAGGATAACAGAGGTTAACATCAAACGTCAAAACAAAGCCAAGGTCAATAACAGGAAATCCATGATAGGGCAATGAGTAAGGGCCTAAACAGAATTTAAATAGGTTCTCATGTGTTCTGGTCCAGGTCATCTTTGCACCTCCAAACAGCATAGGGTCACCCAGATGACGTGGTCCCTTTAAGAGCGGGGGTGACATCATGAAATTCAAATCTAAATAAAGTGCTCAGGAGCGAGCAGCTACCAAACATCTTTACAGAAGCCTGGAGTTCAGGCCGTGAACCAGCAGAGGGAGCCATTCCAGGACCAAAAGGTAAGTCTACTCTATTTCCTATTAAGACAACGCAACCTGAGGACATGAGCAGTGTGGCCGTGCGGTGCGTTCTGCTCACGCAGCCCGTGGAGGGGAAAAGAGCAGGTGGAAGTGGCAGGTAAGTCTGTGATGGAGGAAACGTCCACCGTGCATGATGGACCAATCGGGGAGCATGGATGTCAAAGTGAGGGACCCAAGCATATTCCTCAGAACCATAACTCCTTTCAATGGACAAGATACTGAAGACTACCCCTAAGGATTCTAGAGTCAAGGATAGAAGCGACCTTGTACTCCTCAGCCCCCTCAATGGAAACAGGAGATGAGGGATCACGACGCAGTGTATATCGATTGCACACAAGAGGTGTCAACAGGGAGGTATGAACGAGGCAAGGCATTGAATGAGGTAAATCCAAATCATATGAAACAAGGTTCACCTTGCGCAGGATGTGGAAGGGACCAATAAAGCAAGGAGCAAACTTCATGGAAGGTACTCGGAGATGGATGTTACGAGAAAGTAATGTGTTTGTGAGTTTCTATGTGTTGGCGAGAGAAAGAATTAAAGAGTTAAAAAACAACCTTTAAAATGGAACAAATGAACTGAATTGATCATGGAGATGTGATCTATTAGTAGGGATTTCATGGTAATGTGTTTAATGAAAAGTCCTCCGAGGAACAACATCCATTGAAATAAGAGCAAGAAGCTCTCCTCCTTGATCTGATACCTACACACAACAAAAGTAAAAGGATATTATCCCAATGGATAATGCCACTATCAAAAGGTCAACAAAACAATGTGAGATCTATTTTATCCATAACTGCACTAACACGATGATAAGTGCATTGGACAATTTCTTGTGGGTAAGGCCAAAGTGCAGAGCTTTACAATTGAAAATAGAACTCCTAAAACATGAACTTCATGAACTTGAGATCCTAATATCAAATAATTATGGGTATACGCTGATCACCCACATCATTAAAATCACTGACAGGTGAAGTAAATAACATTGATTATGTTGTTACTCCTGTCAAGCAGCAAGTGAACAGTCAGTTCTTGAATTTCATGTTTCACTCTGACAAATATTGATGGCTAGATGACCGGGTCAGAGCATCTCTAAGTCTTGGATGTCATTACTGGACCATGGAGCAATAAAAAAGGTTGCCTGATATTCCATTTCCTTTCATATTCCCATCAATTTCTTCTCTTTTTCCCCTTCCCTTTCTCTTTTCTCTCTTTATATATTGCAACAAAATTCGGTGGGTTCTATAAAACAAATGAAATATTTTTAAATTATTTTTTTCTGGAGCAGTATGATGCAGACACACATCCATCTATACCATCTACACAACGATTGCCCCTCTTTGTGTAGTTATACTGCAGTGATTCCGTAGAGCCTTATGGGTCCTAATGGAATTAAAGGAAGATTGTTCCTAAGGTCTGAGGTTTTGTTTGTTTGTGCCAAATCCTTACAAATTTGGTTACATGGGTATGAATGTTTGAAGAGTGACTTGTATGTTTTTCAGAGTGGGATTAGTGGAATATACAGACACTCAATGCGCTTATGCTAAAAATATTGTCCTTAAATGTCCAAGGGCTAAACACGGTGAAGAAAAGAAATAGGTTGTATTATTCTCTAATTCAAGAGAAAATTCAAATTGCCCTTTTACAAGAAACCCACTGGCTTCGATACTCCCAACAGAAGTGGGGAGGTAATAGATATTCTAGGTTCTATCATGCTTCCCTAACTAACAATAAGAAAAGAGGAGTTGCTATCATTCTTAGCAGTGATTTAAATTTAGACATTATTCATTGTGAATTGGATAAGGAGGCTAGATATATTATTCTAGTATGCAGCATTGACAATAAAATATATACCTTGGTTAATTTATATCTACCTAATGTAGATCCAATTTCTACTTTTACCATCATTATGTCTAAAATCTCCAAAATTTCTAAGGGCACCTTAATTATTGCTGGAGATTTCAATTGCGTATCAAACCCGCAATTGGATAAATTCTCCCCTATAAAATTTACTACAGATAAAAGAGCTCTTAAACAAGAAAAAAACTAATGAATATTTGCAAACTATATAATCTCTTTGATGTATGGCGCACATTACATCCCTCTGAGAGAGATTACACCCATTTCTCAAATTGTCATGGTTCCTATTCAAGGATTGATATGTGTTTAGCCCCAGCAAATGCGATACCACTTTTCCATACTATTAAAATCAGGGACATTCCCTGGTCAGGTCATAGTTCTATTCTAATAGAATTAGGGGGTAGTTCCTTTCCTGGAATAACTACTTGGAAATTAAACGACCTTCTTATAAAAGATGAGAATAATAGAGAGGTTCTAACTAATTTATTAACACACTTTCTAGCAGAAAATCGACCGGAGGACACCTCCTGTGCGATAAATTGGTGTGCACAATAAGCGGTCACAAAAGGCTATTTAATTAAAATGGGATATATAGCAAGGAGAAACAATGGACAGTCGTTGGCTGATTTATATATAGAACTTTATAGGCTCTCAAATTTAAACAAAAAACAAACCTCAAAGGAATTAAGTTCTTCCCTAAAAAATATTCAAAATAAAATTAACCTTAAAGAAGAAGAGAGAATTAAAATCAGTATAAATAAATTAAGACTAAATCACTATCATACAGGTAATAGAGCCTCTAAAAACTTGACAAAAAGACTCCAAATTCAACAAGCCAAAAATAGGGTAAAAAAAATGATTGATGGTCAAAATATCTATTCTAACCCATCCCAAATTGGGGAAAAATTTAACCAGTATTATGAACAATTGTATAATTTAATGCTAAATCCGAAAGAAACAGAAATGTATAATTATCTTGACAATATTGAGATCCCAAAAATTTCGGCCCAAGATTAATCTAAGTTGAATGAGAGGAAGTACAACAGCAAATAGACAAATTACCCTGGAATAAAACACCTGGCCCTGATGGCTTTACGAACGCGTATTATAAACTCATGAAACATTTATTGGTAAAGCCTTTAATGGCCATGTTCAATGAAATAGTGGACAATAAATTATTTCCTAAAGAACTCCTCCTGTCCAATATTATACCAGTTTTAAAAGAAAACAAGGACAGTACAGATCCGGCTAATTATAGACCTATAGCCTTGATAAATGTGGACATGAAATTATATTCCGAATATTATAGCGAATAGACTCAAAAAAGTAATACCGAAAATAATCCATTCAGATCAAATTGGGTTTTTCCAAGGTCGGTCCACTTCAAATAATACAAGAAGGATACTTGATATACTGGACATGGCGCATAGACATGAAATGCCCCTCCTAGCCCTTGGATGTCATTGGATGCAGAAAAAACGTTCAACAGGGTTGGGTGGGGCTACTTAGAAGGAGTTCTTCAGGCATTTGGAATAAGGGGCTGGATTTATAGAGCCATTGTCGCTCTCTATTCCTCCCCTGCAGCAAGAACGGTGGGTCCCAATATATCAGCGGGGTGGTTCGCTCTTGGAAATGGTACGAGACAGGGTTGTCCCCTGTCCCCATTATTGTACATCATGTCTATTGAACCTCTGGCCATCAGTATAAGAAGTAATCCATTTATTAAGGGTTTTCCCACTAATCAGCTAGATATAAAAATCTCGCTATATGCGGATGACGCATTTAATTACGATCACTTTACCCCAGTACTCTTTGCCACCGCTTATGAAAGTAATTGAGAAATACAGTAGGGTTTCTAACTTTAGGTTGAATATCGTGAAATCTAGGGCAATGTGTGTCAATTTAGATACAACGGTGGTAAATAGACTATCGAATAATTACAAATTTATCTGGACCAATAAGTAAATAAATTATTTAGGAATAGTCATACCGACCAAGGTCAATGATATAATAGAGAGAAATGTTCTAAATCTCTTGAAACCTATGAATTATAAACTGCAAAAATGGAAAAACCTGGAGACAACGTGGATGGGGAAAATTAATATTATAAATTCTTATATTTTGCCACAATGGTTCTATTTTTTCTCCATGATTCCTCTTAAGATGCCTAAACCCTGGTTGGATATGATCCAATCAAGTTTCTCTAGATTTATCTGGAAAAACAAAACATTGCGAATAAGTTTTAAAATCCTTTCTAAAAAACTGAAGAACGGAGGATTGAATTTCCCCAATATTATTTCCAATTACCACGCTAATATGATCAGGCATATCTATAAGTCACAAGACCCTCAACATGAGGAGGAACCGTGGTATGCACTAGAGGCACAAGCAGCCTTGCTGATGAAACTACAAAATGTTATGTGGAAAGATGTTAAGGGTAAAAGTAAGATCTCCACACAAGTAAACTCTACAATACTAATCCTAGACTTCTAAACATATGGCAAGATATTATAAAACAATTAGGTTGTCTAAATTGTATACCAAGGGCTTGCAGCCTTAGAGTTTTAGAACAAAATGTAGAAGATTTATGCCTTAGACGGTGGATGAATAAAGGTATAACTATTATCTCAGACATTACGACAGGTAATAATATAATGTCATTTCAACAGATTGCAGACATCTATCAGCTTTCTTCTAAAGAAATATTTACTTATTTAAGAATCAAAAATTATTTGGATACTTCTATTATTGATTCTGTCTCTCCTACTTCTAGATGTATAGAAACTATTTTTTGCTACAAACCCACTAATAGAATTACCTCACATGTCAATTTATTGTTGGACATGGTAAATGAAGGCCCCAGTAAAATAATTAGATTTTGGGAAAAAGAATTAGCCATGGCAATTTCAGATAAAGATTGGTGTACCTCACTTGCCCATATTACCAAGAATATACATAGCTTAAATTTGGTTGAATGTCACTTTAAGCTGGTATATAATTGGTACTATACTCTAACATAGCCAAAATGTTTCCGCATTTAGGTGACTCATGCTGGAGATGTGGTTTCCGGGTGGGAACCTATTTGCATATTTGGTGGACCTGCCCTGTAGTGAGGCCGCTGTGGGCATGGGCTTTCTATTTTTTTTTTACACTATCCAATAATAAATTAGAAGAAGACCCTGCCACCGCCCTTTTCCATATAAACTTGCATTTAAAATCAGAGGCGCACTGTTTAGTGGCCGTTAAAATTATAATTGCTAGAAGTTGGAAATCATCCATTCCCTTTCAAAAAACTCACTTGATTAAACAAATTAAATATCAACTGACTATGAAAACCAATCTGATTAATATGTCTAATGCAATTTACAAGAAAGGCATATATAAGATGTAGTTGGACAAAATCTTATTAATATATGGCTGACCTTATATTGCTTATAGTTGGATTCTTCATTATTCATAATTTATTTATTTTTATTTTTTTCCTAGAAGAATAAGTTGGATTGGATCTTGTCCTTAAGTAATAAAGTGATAGAGAAGGAAGGGAGTAGTGGGAAATGGATTCGGTTATAAGTCTTTTGGACATAAGATGGTAGATTTATCTGTTAAAATTATTTTGGGACTACTTTTCTCCCACTCTGATGGTGTGAAAGATTTTTATTATGTTTGGGGTTTTGCATTGTGCGATTGTTATTTTTTTATACCTGTCCTGTTGATATATGTATGTATTGTTATTGGATAGGTTTTGTATATATATGTTGTTATGATATTTGTGAGATATGTAATTTTGATGAAACTTTCAATATAGAAATAATAAAAAAAAAGGATGCCTGATGAATCATGTTTTCTTGTAGATCAGGAGGATTTACCTGGGAAAGAGATGGCAGCAGGATGCAATATAGGAAGTAGGCAGGCTGGCGGAATCAGTTTTACATTCTGCTAGGAAACCTTGGTTCCTGGCATTCATGTGGATGTTACCTTAACACATACCAACTACTTAGTTTGTTGCAGACCACATACATCCCTTCATGGCAATGGTGTTCCCTGATGGCTGTGGCCTCTTTCAGTAGGGTAAGGCACCCTGCCACACTGCAAATATTGTTCAGGAATGGTTTAAGGAATATCACAAGTTCAATGTCTTGCCTTGGCCTCCAAGTTCCCTAGATTTCAATCTGATTGAGTCTCTGTGGGATGTACTGGAATGACAAATCCTATCCATGGAGACTCCACCTCACAACTTGTAGGAGTTAAAGGATATGCTGCTAATGTCTTGGTGCCAGATATTGCAAGATACATTTAGATATCTTGTGGAGTACATGCCTCAACACATCAGAGCTGTTTTGACAGCACAAGGTGGGTCTAAACGATGTTAGGCAGGTGGCGTTACTCAGTGTAGCTGATCACTGTAGGTGTCCTTTAATTCTACAGGAATGAGCCAATGCCCATCTGCATGGTTGAAAGTGTGCAACTTTTAGATTCCATCCTGCAAGCACTCAGGGGCGGTAAAGTGGCCTGATGAACCCGCCCGGCGAGCGCCGGTCTCCATATCAGACGCGGCGAGGGAGCTGTGTTCTCTCTGCTCCCTTTAGAAACGCGCGGTTTGCTGATGCTGGGAGCCGGAATATGACATCATATTCCAGCTTCTGGTATCAGTAGACTAACCACACGACGAGAAGGAGCAGAGAGAACACAACTCCCTCGTCGCGCCTGATATGGAGACAGGAGCCCACCCCACTGGACCCCAGGGACAGGTCCACACCAGCTCTCCAGGTATATAATTTGTGAGTGTATGTGTGTGCACGCGTATATGTGTGTGTATATATATGTGTATATTAATTTTTTTGAGGGGGGAGGGGGAATCTTGGGTGAGTTCCCACACTTTATTCCCCAGGACTTGACCCCTGCCTACTCTCCTCCTCCCCACTGGACCAGTGGCGGTTATCCTGGCCCCCTCGGGAGAGCTACATATTGTCCTAGCCATATTGATTTAATGCATCTCTATGAGGAGATGCTGAGTGGCCATGGTATGCATACATGGCCAAAGCAACAACAGAAGCACTGAGAGAAATGTTCAAGGATGCAGGTGATCAATCTTTGGTTAAAAGAAAATCTTCACATGTTATCTGCGATAGTCTGCCTTGACTGCCTCTGGCAGGGAAAAAAATGTTTAGTAAAAAGTTTTCCTAGCACTATAGCATAGTTTTAAATGTATTTCTTTGCATTTTTTTTGGCATTGCTTTAAAGGACCACTATAGTGCCAGGAAAACAAACTCGTTTTCCTGGCGCTATAGTGTTAATATTGTCCCCCTCCCACCAGGCTCTAGGGGGAGGAAGGGGTTAAACTTACCTCTTTCTCCAGCGCCGGGCGGGGGACTCTTCTCCTCTCCTGGCGTCATCGGCGGAATGCGCATGCGCGGCAAGAGCCACGCGTGCATTCAGTCAGTCCATAGGAAAGCATTCTCAATGCTTTCCTATGGACGCTGGCGTCTTCTCACTGTGAAAATCACAGTGAGAAGCACAGACGTGCCTCTAGCGGCTGTCAATGAGACAGCCACTAGAGGCTGGATTAACATATATATATATATATATGTATATAAATAAAACCTGTTTTTTTGCTCTCTATAAGTTTAAAGGGTAATCCAGACGTGGAGCCCTTGCTCACGGTGCCTAGAGAGAGATCAGCTATGCCTCACTGATGATGCCTAACAAGGCTGAAACAATCGTCTGGGGTTGTTGTGTCTCTCGTGCAGAGAGAATTTGCTGGCATTTCGGATCTGGATTGCCTGTATGGGTGGGACCAGTCTGATTTGCTTCAGATATGTTCTCTCTGTAATGGCACAAGATGAGCTAAAACCAGCTTGAGGTCTGAGCGGGGACCCACCGAAGGGCAGGCTATTTTAGTTGCTCTCTGTTCTCAGAATACTCTTACGACCTGTTTTTTGCTCTGGATTAATTTATATGTAAACATAGCAGTTTCTCTGAAACTGCTATGTTTACAGCAGGCAGGGTTAAACCAAGATGAACCTGCTACCCAGACCACTTCATTGAGCTGAAATAGTCTGGGTGCCTATAGTGGCCCTTTAAAAATAAAAATAATCCATTCTACTCAGGGCAGACAAATATGGATATGGATCAGTTTTGCTCTATATACAATGCATCTATATTTTATGACAGTTACATTTATTAGTAAATTTGATTTTGTCCTTACTAATAAGTAATCACATGAAATAAGCATTCCCTTGCACTGTTTAGTGGGCAGGCAGGGGAGGGTTATTATTGACAACTTGTGTTTAGGAGAAAAATTACTTAGTGGTCCATAGTGCAATAACCAACCTACCTGTTAACATCAGCAATAGACATGAGTGCACACATAAAATAGATGTGTTGATAGACATACAAGATAATTGAATAAAAATAAAGTGCTACACACTTGGGCATTTAGTTGTTGAAAGAAGCCTGGGGAGTAATTGCCCTCCTCCCTTGACATCCCTAATTAATAAGGGAGATCTCCCCAAGCATTTAGTAAAAGGAGTTCTGAAGGATTTCCCAGCAAGGGAAAGCTATTAATGCATTAAACGTATAAACCTTGTATTTCAAATCAATGTGCAGTAAATGCATAAACCTTGTATATCATGCTAATGAGCAGTAAATGCGTAAACTTCCTATATCATGTCAATAAACATTAAATGCATAAACTTGGCATATCATGCTAATTAACATTAAATGCATAAACTTGGCATATCATGCCAATGAAAAGTCAATGCATCAACTTGGTATACCATGCCAATGACAAGTAAATGCATAAACTAGGGGTCCTCAAACTACGGCCCGTGCCGGATCCGGCAATTGCAGAACCCGCCCGGCTTTGAGATGTGGCTGCACTGACAGGCAAATATTTTTTCCTGAACTGTCTCGCAGCTGATGGTCTGAAGGGCGCAAAGCCACCGGATGAGAGAGGCATAGGACGTCATATCCGGTGGCTGCGCAACAGCGGCGGCATCCCTTCCCTCCAATTGAGCTCAGTAGTCCTGTCTGCTTATCGAAATAGAGGTAGCTGTAAAGGGGTTTGGGGGACCTGTTGTGACTATTACATTTGGGGGTGAATTAGGGGGAGGTGGGTCAGTGTATAAGGGCTCTGCAAAGTTTAATTGCAGAAATCACAATCCCTATGAATGAATGGACCCTGCACAGCACATATTTAATATACAGCCCTCACTAAATCTAAGGCTTTGCCAGATCAGACAAAATCTGTGCAGTTTGTACTGTCAGATCCCAGAGGGATGATTATCAGCTCAGTTTTCTCAGCTCTAAACTGAAATTGCTATGGTCAATTTAATAGTATTAGTAAACTTGGGCCACCTCTCATCTACACCTGTGATAAGTGTGTGGTGTGGTGTGTGTGTGTGTGTGACTTATATTTTCTTTTTGTTTTAGTTTAGTCATTATTGCTGGTATATTATTTTTGCAGCTCTGTATTTATTGGTATTTTACTAAATAGCAATTTTCAATCCCTAGGAAATCATGTCCAAAAAAAAAAAAAAGTGAAGGGTATTCAAAGAACAGTGGACTTACGATTACTTTTTCACGCAGTACAATCACGAACATCATTGCTTTTGTCAAGTGCCAATGAAAAATAGCTAAGTTTTTTTGAGGAGTTTTGCAAATGCAGATGCAAATTTTCCCCCATTTCTTCAATCCTTCGTGTAATTGTAGGTCCTGAAAGACTCAGTGTACTAAATAAATCCACCTTCTCTGGACACAGAATGGTTTGCCAGTGCGCGCTATGAGCTTGAAAACTTGCTCCCAATGATGATATATTTAGCTGCTTTGGCTTCACAAAAGTATTTTGCTGAGTTGTCAATCCATTTTTCAGTTTTAATATTTTATCTTTTCTCACTTGTCCGACCAATCATATTTATCTTTATGTTGCGTTTCGTAGTGTTGACGCAAATTGTATTACTTGAACACAGACACTAAATGCTGGCATATCAGAAAAAGCTGGCCCATACTTCCCATTGAAATATTTGTTTAGGTTGATTACAATTGTTAATTTTAAAATAGTGCATTCTTTTTCCAGTTTTTTTTGTGCACTACAAATAAAATAAGTGCAGTGTGCATAGGAATTCGTTCATTTTTTTTCCCCTCAAACTATAGTCCCAACAGTGTCTGAGGGACAGTGAACTGGCCCGTTAAAGTTTGAAGAAACCTGGCATAAACCTTTCATATTATTCCAAAGAGAAGTAAATGCATCATTTTGGTATATCATGCCAATAAACAGTTGATGCATAAATCATATATTATGCCAAAAGTATTAAGTAGAGCTTGAGTCCTGCAGGAACTCATGTGAACGGCGTTCCTGCACTTTTTTCACAGCAGGAATGCTGTTCCCGTTGCTCCTGCAGGCACTAACCAGGGGGCAGCAAAATATGCCACCCCCAAGTTCTTCCTGGGGGAAAGAACACTATGGGACAAATACCATGGGACTGGGGAGTAGTGAGGAAAGAACACTAAAAAAGAGGGAGGGGGCCGCTAAAAGAGAAGGTAAGTTTTTCATATTTGATTAAATTAATTAAAAAGACTAATAACAAAATTATAGGAAAAAACATTTTGGGGGAAAAAAGTCGTTTTCGGCCAAGGGCATCTGAATTTTCAGTTTCGGCCCAGAATTTATTTCGGTGCATCCCTAGAATTGTTGGGTTTTTTGCCTTCTTTTGGATCAACAGTATAAAAGAATGGGTTTCAAGGTTTACCTTAATAGACTTTAGTCTTTTTTTCCAACCTAGTCAACTGTTTAATATGCTGCCCAGAAGTCACCGGTCAGTCTGGGGACGACTAGAAATGGAAGCAGCAGACAGAAGAGAGCCCTAAGTATCCATTAATACCTGGGGTTCCTGGTGTTAGCAGGGGTTTAGCCCTGCACACACCACAAGACCATTAAATAGGCAAGCAGCTCATCAAAGTCTGGGGCCACTAAAAATGCCTCAGGTCTCCAGTGTGTACAGGGATATAACCCTGCTCACACCAATTCTGCATCGATTTCAATGCCTTCTTACAGGATGTCAGGAAAGGGTTAATGGAGTGATTCTGATGTACAGGTTATGTACCTGCAGTCTAACTGCTCAAAGTTAAATGTTTATTCAGCCCTAGTCACACTGCCAACTCGCTTATTGTACTTTTGACTGACCAACATTTATTTAGTTGTCCAAACACCCCAAAAGAGAGCAAAAAATAAAATAAATACAAATAGGTGTGCAACTAAAATGCCATCCTCCAAGGAACACATATACGTGATTATTTTTCATTTTACACAAATATGACAGCATGAGGAGCAAAATGTCAGCACGGCACAGCTGTGATTAATTAAAACAGGTTATTAGATAAAGCAAATTGAAAGTATTTTCAAGAGTACATATTTTATTAAAATTTCACAACACAGATCCCAGTTAAGTGACAAATCCTCAGTATGTTTCACCTACTTTATATGAAAGCGTACCCAATAAGTAGTTTGGAATCAACTTCGTAAATACCATCTAGTTTATCACACACAGATCGAGTAGAAAACAATACTGCCTTCCCTTATGAATACTGAAATCCAAAGTAACTTGTGTACCTTTACTCTAGATTAAGCGGATTATGGACATATGTAGATTAATATAATTTATATTGATATGGTTTTCTGAAATAGGGATTTACAGTAAAATAATGTATAACTAAAGTAAAGCACAAACAAAAACCTATTAAATCAACTATTTCTAAGAAGAAATTTATTTTGGAATTGTCTTGCAGCAGAGGGCATAATCTCTGCACAGGCAGCATTGCATAGCAAAATGCTGCACACACTCTAGGCACCATGATCACTACACATCACTAAGGGAGTCATGGTGCTTGGTGTAACCCTTTAATGTTTCTGTCTAAGTGGTAAATGGCCTATTCATACAACAATTCTTCGAGAGTCAACATGAGAGAAAGTTAAAGATTTTTTTGACTAGAAAAAAAAATAAAAAGGTGCTCCAGTCCACATATCTGAATGTGTGAGAAACAAAGACTAAGTACATTAGATAAATATCATACATATCTACTAAAGATGCAATTTAATACCAATATAACATCAACTTATGACAATCCAAATATAGACTGAAATAGGCACTAAATTCCCATGACATCGGACCAAGTTTCTTCTTTTAACAGAATATAAGTAGAGATTAGAAACATATGACTAAAGATCCAGTCTTTAAGTATGAGATCCTGGAATGCACTCCTAGAAACAAAAAGTAACATAAAATAATTTTTCACTTGGTAAGTCACAGGTGCTCCTGGCCCAAATGTTTGTATCTTTAGTTATAAAACATTGCTAGTACAGTGCATGGATGAAATTTTATCCTCTGAAGTGAAGCCAAGCCACACCCGTCATTACACATTTACTACTAAGCAGTGTAATTTCATAACCATCATTGGATACTCATGCTACCAAGAGTGCAAGCGATTACATGAAAGTCCAAACTATTATTTTTATATATACACTTCTAAAACAAAAACTATGGAAATTTCATTTAACATTTCTAATTTTTATTTTGGCCCAATACTCTTTGTAGAATTGATGAATACATGTGTTATTGTGCAGTTGTTACAACAATAAAGGGCAATGGTAGTACTCGCTCTATCATTTCAAAAGACATGAGAAAAAAGAAAAATAAACAACCAACATACATTTATTTATACTTTTTTTCTGTATTAAAACAGGAACACTTTTCGTGAAAATGAAAACTCAACATTCCAATTTTGAATAAAAAAAAAAAAAAAAAGTTTTTTTTGTTTTACTCCTTTTTCTTTGTATTCTTTGCCATCTTTGTCATGACTTTCTGTATGAGGGGAAAAAAAGAAAAGACAAAAAAAAAAACACATTAGGAGGTTTGAATAGCACAAGCACCAACTTAAGTGGTATTTATTTTTAAATTTAAATATTCTCAATATACAATCTGAAAAGAATAATAAAAATATGTAGTGCAGACTATCTGCTATTAGCTCCACTAGAGAGGGATAATCTCACAGCATGCATCAAGACAGGTGTCTCCCTTCTATCAGGTATAATACCAGGAACTTCTGTGCAGTACAAGAGGATAAAGAGGCAAAGGATCCCAAATGGAAATGTATCCAAGTACAATTTATTAATAACAAATGTTAAAAACTCTTAAAGTAGTGGGTTTGCCAGCAATAAACCCACAATTTGACAAGCAGAAATCAAATGTAAAACAGCAGCAGCTTGTAGTCACTTTCTGATCACGTGACAGTTTGGGACCGCCTCTCGATGACGTCATGCACGACACGGTTTGCCCACCTACCAGGGCTTCTTCAGACGATGTCACGGTGTTCTCTCTAGTGGAGCTAATCAAACCCAGAGCCAGGGGTGATATAGGGCTCTGGTATTTTCTCTTGAGTATTTTCTAGATCATCCGCACTATATTTTATTATTCTTTTCAGATTGTATATTGAATACTGTATTCACTGCAGTTGCTAGCGCGCTCAATTTTTGGTATTTATTTGTATGTCACATAGTGTCAGTTTGGGGCAGTGCAACTGTACTGCATAATCTTTATTACTCTTAAGCTCATACTAATTTTGGTTAAATATAAAATATAGTGCAAGCATCCTTTGAATGTACATTACTATATCGTATTTATTCTTTAATCTTCTTCAGCCCTGACCCAGTGACAAAATAGATTACTTTGAAGTATGTACTTCTACATACTGCAGTGCGACAGTAGCCAGGTAGTAAGGACTGAGACGATTGCAATGCCATGTACTGTGTAAAAGTTGGTTTTAGTAAACCAATATTTGTTGTTTTGTTAGTATTGGGCCCATAGAGAACAATATAGTTGATAGTATTTTTGAAAACTGCATTCGAGCATAATGAACAGATTAACAAATAATTCAAATATAAGTGTTATGGTTCACCTTTAGTTTTTGATAATGAGACAAACTGCTGCAATGTGTCACTTTAGCCACCTCTTCATTAGTATAAAATAATGAGCATAGTTTGCAGTAGAATCCAGTCTTAGGAACAACATAATCTACACCTAAAGAAATAAGAAACAAAAATGAAAATATTGCACATAAAATGTTAAAAATTAGCAAAAAATTAATGAATGGCAATGAGGACCAATGATTTTAGAGGCACATTCTTTATGAAAACAATTAAGTACATAACTGGAAGATTAAAACACTCACAAACGATGTGGCACAATTGACAAAATCAATATGTGCTAAAGTGCTGATGCCTAAAATAGGATAAATCTCCCGGTCTGGCAGTCTGTGGAGGTCTGTGCAAAAGCTGCAACAAGTGTAGATCAAATGATTCACCATCAGCTGCTTCAGATTCCCGAGTCGATATCTGCTCTACGCGTTTCGTCTATTCCTGTTCAGACTTCTTCAGGATATCCATTTGATCTACACTTATTGCAGCTTTTGCACAGACCTCCACAGACTGCCAGACCGGGAGATTTAGCCTATTTTAGGCATCAGCACATATTGATTTTGTCAATTGTGCCACATCGTTTGTGAGTGTTTTAATTTATGTGGTTTTATCACTTTGGAATTAAAAGTTTGCACTTTGATGTTTTCTCTTTTTATATCTTTTATGTGAATATTCCCATTTATTCGCTGGAGGGTAATTATATCCAGTCTTTATATTTGGTGATAAGTGGCGCCCTATTTCTGTATAGTATATACAGTTTTGTTTTTTGCACATTTGGTTAAGGGATACAGGGAGTGCATCCCTATATATAGTGGCTTGCCTGCACTATTTTGACGGTCAGTTTTTTCACTATCCACATTTGGTTTTATACATAACTGGAAGATTCCCCAAGTTATCATTTAAAAATAAATACTTAAATCCTGATATGACGCAATTCTAAAAATAACGGAAATAGATCTTTCTGCAAGGTGGCTGGTTTAGGAAGTTGCATATTTTTGTCCCCCCAAACACTGGAAACAAACTAAATTGTGAATCAGCTGTCCAAATCCCATAGTGTGAAAATAGGAAAAAAGCAACTGGCTTGAGGAGATAGAATGTTGACTAATAAGAGTTGCACTACAAAAGTCCACCCTGGTACAAGTTAGTGATGAATAGAAGGCCGATAGCGGTCACATGTACTTTGTTCTGCAATTAATGTACATTTGAGAAAAACAAACCAAAAAAACCCCCAAAACATTTCCTCTCTTTATAGAGCCACTGTGTATAAACAAAACAAGAGTACAAAAAGATGACGTAAAACGGACAGCAATATTTCTTGCTCCATTAAAGGTTTCTCTTTGGCTATATTTTCTGTAACTATGCATTTTTAATATATTTCACAATTCACTTTGTGACCCTTTCACATCGAGTTAAGGCATTTAAAATTATTTACAGACAGTAGACAAACTGATAACTTTGTGACCATGTAAAGCTGTAAATCTGCATTGTTGTATGTACTGCAAATTCAGAGCACTTCTAAGCAAAATCTGTATGAGTGCTACTTGGCAAAATGATGGCAATGACTGCCGACATTCTTGGAAGGTTTATAAACTGGGCTAAGCAGAGTGATCTGGGTTTGGAAAAGAGGTACAATTTATACTGCTATAGATAAATTAAACCCATACATACCAAGAGGATTATTCGGCTGGAAAGGTCCAATAACAGACTTCGGTACATCTGCAGTCTTTTCGACAGAATCAGCATGAGCAGCATTTTCTGATTCTATGGTTTCAGATGTTTTGGTTATTTCTGCATTTTGTACTTCCTTTTCATCAGTTGCACCTTCATTTTCATGCTCCGGTTCTTCAACACTTGTGCTGGCCATAACCATTTCTACCAAGCTGTCATCCGTTTTAGTTGCCGAATCTTCAAAGGAGGTTTCTGCAATGCTAGCTTTTAACTTTTGGCCTTCTGAGTCTTCTTCTTCACCAATTTCATCCAGAGTAACAAAATCTTCCATATTACCAGGATAATCATGTGAACCCTGCGGAAAAAAAAGTAGTACAATTTTAAGTTCGCTTATGTATTTAAATAGAAACCATTGCACACATCACAGACATTTTACTAACCAATTTTATTTCAGAAACAAACATTTGGGCTAACAGTTCAGCCATTAAGAAACATGTTTTAGAAAATGATAAATAATGTGGTTCAGTCCCAAATAAAAAACAGTAGTGGACTGAAATGCAAATGACAAAATAGTCAAAAACAAAAATTTTAAGTTGAAGTTTGCGATTTGATGTTAACTACAATTCCGTGTTTAGTGAATAAACAGGGCTCAAAATCTCTAACACACTAGCCATTGTCTAGCAGTTGAGCTCTGGCAAGTGTGGCATTGAACAATCAATGCCTGTGAGATTCCATATTGCGGTTTGAAATCAGCAGCTTATTGCAACAGTTGTTGCACAGCATAACAATCATGAGTGGGATTCAACTAGAGAATCAGGCAGATGTATACTTTTAGACTAGGTTAGTAGCTCTAAACCCTTAAAGGAACACAAACATTATAAATATGTAATTATGTTATATATGTAATTGTAACAGAGTGTTCTGGTGCCTTTTGCATTTAGGTTACCCCAGTAGAATGTAAAATAATTAAGGCAAGGTTACACTTGTCTTTCATTCAGTAAAGACCTGGTCTCACAACAGCCACTGCTCCTTTATTTTAGGTCATCCAAACAGATAATCTCAGTCAAGTAAATTATTCTCCATAGAGCAGATCTGGGAGCCTGTTTGTGCATGTACTGCTATTGCCAGTCCAATGAGAAACTCCTCATATAAAAACACAACACGGCTTCTCTAAGAGAGACTTGGCTGCATTCAGCATTGTCTTGATGCAGAACATGAAGACAAACATTTTGTCTTCACTAGTGCCTGTAAATGCTTGTCTGACTGACAAACTTAAACAGAGCTGTTTCTCAAAATGCTTAAATTAGTCACAGTGCATGAACATCTTCCAAGCTGAAGCACCAAGACTACTTTAGGATATAGACTGGGAAAGTTAAGCACTAGAACAAAGCATTGGCAGTTTAAAACAGACAGAGAGGTCAGCCATCACTTGATATAAACACAGTGCCGGGAGAACTTTAAAAACCTATGAAACCGCTTCCACGCCTACTAAAGAGGCTGACAAATTTGTAGAAGATTTAAAAAAAAAAAAAAAAAAAGGTTTAACTCAAAAATCGGGATATGCAGGGACACGAAATGCAAGCATTAATCTCGGTGACATTAGTAGTGTATTAATCCCATAACTTCACAATGATTAACCTTTAAAATCACGTAGTACATGATTACATTTAGCTATACATGGTGTCTCTTAAACAAGATAAAAATCATATCTACACATTCTCAAGCTGGTTCTGCAGGAGAATATATATGTATATGTCTGCCTCTGTTGATGCAACTGGAAGGCTGGGAGCCAGCCAGCAAAAATACAGAGGAAAGAAACATTTTGAAAATATTTGTAAAGCACCACATACCTTTTTTTTACCCTCTTGTTTTGCTTTGAATGTACGAAGATCTTCCTTCGTACATTCATTAGCGGCTACTTTTGAATAATCATCACTTATGTCAGGTTGATCAGTTTCATCTCCAACAGAACTACTGGTTTCTAGCAGAGCTGCTGCTGCTTCTTCTTCTTCTTCTTCTTCTTCTTCTAATTCTTCTACTAAGAGGTCATTCTCACATGTAACAGATATCTCTCTCTCTTCAGCTTGTTCATCAGCTTTTGTTTCCATTGCTGCAGAATCATCAGCAGAAGAGGACACCTTTTCTTTTAATGGAGTAGATGTGGATTTGCTTGCTCCATTGGTGCTTTGCCCTTTTTGACTGCCTTCTGTTTTAATTGCCTTCTTATCACTTGGTCCTTCTTTACGATCAGGAGAGTGGGCTCTTTTTCTATAAATTGTAAATGATACAGAGCTTTCAATTTCTACTTGGAATACATGAAAACAGTTATATTTTCTCTGCTATATTTAAAGCATTTAAATTAAACTTATATTAATTCTACATTAAAGTATACATGTTTGAGGTATTTAGTAGAATTTGTAGTCAAAATGCTAGTACTGCTAAAATTTTATTTGCGGAGCATTACTTGATCCAAGTATGCCAGGCATGTATTGACAACTTTAAACCTCAACGTCTTAATTGCCCCTGTGCCTTTCAACATCCTCCTAGTGTCTCAATGCTACACATTTCCCTTTCAGCATATCCTCCTTACACTTCTGCCAACCCTCTCAGAACATTCAATTTACCTCCCATGTCTTGCATTTAGATGATGGACTCGGAAACAAACCACATTAGAAACATGAAGATATCAGTATTAACATAAATGCATAGTTTGGAAAGGGCATAGGAAGGAGTAGCTGCAAAAAAACAAACAAAAAAAACCCCAAAAACTATGAACATTAAGCGGCACGATATTATGGACCACCAAATTCAGCAGCTCTGCTTTAGGCACAGTCTGGCATGCCTTGCGAATGCAAACCCAGTGCAAGTAATCGTTTAATGTTAAAATGGTTTGTGCGCACTATATTTTGCAAGCAAATACAAAAGAAGGATACAGGATACTACAGACGAACATCCTGAAAGCATCTTGTGTTTAAATTGAAAAGACTGCGTAAGCCCCCCCAAAAGTAGGTGTATCATGGAACCTATTTTAGCACCCTTTAAAGTAAAATTGAAAGACAAGGATTTTCACATTCTACTTGTAAAATCAATAATACAGAAAAACTGATTTTGTTAATGAAAGAAATAGTATAAAGTTACCTGGTTTTATCTTTTTGAAGTTGATCAATCGCCTTGTTTGGAATCTACAACAATTAAAATTGTACTCTTAAAATCTCAGAATGCAATCCCTTAAAACATACTAAAAATGCATTTGTATGTGAACCTTGCAAAATGAACCAGTATTTAGATTAGGCAGGTGACCCAATACCTTATTAAAAATATAAATATACATAAAGACTTAAAGGAGCGGTGTGTGATCGTTATAGTGCCAGGCATGCCGTGGGTTTCCCCCAATTTAAGCAGTCAAATTACTTGCAAATGGTTTGACTTAACAGGTTTGTGCACCCCAAGGCTTAGTTTAGGCATACAGCTTCCGCCTACAGAGACAGTGAGCGGCACCCTGCAAACCCAAAATAAAAAGTCAAACCACTGGGGTGGGTGGGTAATATGCACCTCTTGCACCATGACCATTGCGGTGTGGTACATTTTTTTAAATTAAGTTTCAAAACCTCGTCTAAATATTAGTGAGAAACAATAGAAAGATATATACATACTTAACCTTTGAATTGTCACTTGCACAAAACATTTTACAATTGCATGCATTTAGTTAGCTTGCTAAAGAAATCATTTGGTAGTGGTGTAATACGTTATTGATTTACACTGCCTATAAAATGTAACAAAATATGGAAATGGGGGTGGGAAGAGATATATAAATCAATTAAAAGGTACACACAAAGTTGGGCCAAAATGTTGAAAAGCACTTTCTCAACAAAAAAGGTCATAAAACCAACAACATTACATTAAAACTTATAGATACATAAATTAAGGTTTTACATTTTTTAATTATTTTTTTTTTTTTTAAACTTACTCGTAGAACAAGCTTCTTGTACTTCTCTGAAAGGTCTACTTTTAAACACTTTCCCTGAAACCAAAGAGGTTTTTTTTCACAATGTTCAACCATTGCTAGTGCGTCTTCCATTTTCTCCATTTCAATAAAAGCCTTTAAAAAAGAAAAATATATAATTTAAATGCATATTTGTATGGATAACCACGTAAACAAGCATTTCACAATGTGTATTGTGACCAGCAAGTTTGATTCTTCAGATTCTGCAGTGGCAGCTAAACATCAGATAATCTTAGCTCACAAGAGACCAACAATTCTGTCCTCTTCAAGATTAAACCGCGAGGACTTGACGATGGTAAAGCTATGCATTTTAAAAACAGTACTCTGATAATCAGACAATGCACATTAACAAGCAGCAAAAACCCACCACATTTGTTAAACATGAGGTGAAGCTAGGTGCATTTAAACTTGCCTGGTTCTTCATCCTCATTAATATGTAAGTTTTCACTTTTCCATAACCTTCAGCAAGCTTGACAACCGCTCCATCAGAATAACCAGAATGGGGTAAGTTACTCAGATGTATCACTTTGCCAACATCTGGTTTTGGCTCACTTTTTTCTTCGGTCTTCACCTCAGGTTTCTTAAACCATTGAAAGAAAAGAAAACATTTATAACGAATTTCAAACCTTGTAGTGCTCAGTATGACTAATAAAAAAATAAAAAAATAAAAAAAATAAAAAAAAAAAGCACTCAAGTATTTTCCCAACAGACATTTCATGCAAATATTTTACTTTGGAAGTGGTCTTTTAAATAATTATCTACCATATAAATGAGGATATGAACGCACTTATAAGAAAATACACTCATCAATTTTTGTAATAAATAATTTATAACACACTGGAAAGCAGCTTTACAAAAATATTAGCATACCTTTATTCTCTTGTACTTCTGTGACATGTGAACTCTTACTGGCTGTCCAAGAACAATAGCTGGATTATTCCTGTAGTAATCCACTACAGCCAAAGCATCATCTGAAGTTGACATTTCAATAAACGCCTTCAGGAAGGAGAGAAGAAGAGTTATGAGGAGAGATGTATGTTAATACTGACACACACAAAAAAAGGATTGCTATGAAGTTTGCAGGGTGTGGACACTTTACAATTGGGCTATGTTTGTGATTATAGCAATGTAACATTTTATCAGCACTTTTGAGATTTTGCATTGACCAGGGCGATGTTAAAAAATACACTGGTAGACCTCAGTGACACTATATTTGCAGAATGTTTTCAGTTAACAAGTTGTCAACATTATATCACTATTTCAGTAACACACATTCGAAAAGTCTCAAGCACCTTAACATCTCACTGTTAAGCAGAATGTTCTACGTTTTCCAGGTAACATGTAGTCAACATAGATCACCATTTTGTTACTGCTGCAATGTCATTAATTGTCTGTACTATTATGTCCACGCACATTTAGAAAGTCTTGTGCACCTAAGCTTATAAGATGTTAAACTGCAATGCCAATATTTGTGTATTACAATCATATCGCAAAATAAAGATTGTCAAAAAAACAAACAAACAAAAAAAAAAAACACAGTGGGAGGTGCTAGGTTATTTATAATCCAATAGAAAAAGTGCTAATATGGCCACAAAATTAGATTAGATTTAGGTTACTGAATTAGTGACCCATTATTTAAATGTAACCAGTGATAAGAGAGGAACTGAATAAATGAAAATAATTATAACTGATACAAATAAATAAATAAATAAATGGGCTGCATCACATATAGATGAGAGCTACTAGCAAACAAGCATATACATATATAGAAAGTAACTAATATGTGAGTGCTTCAAAAATGTGTCAACACCATATTCAATCTATGCTCCAGCAGTGAATAAAGACACAACTTTTGTCAAATATGTAACGTATCAAGATAACAAACGTCTATATAAAAACAATCAGATATAAAAGCGTATAGAGACAAATCTTAATTTGCGTCTTTATTCACTGCTGTATCATAGATCAAATACCTAAATGTAGCAATAGGTCTATAGAAGGCTGAAGAAATAGATATATTTAGAACATTGGCAGTGAAACCACCACTGGCACAGAAAATTAGAAAAGAAAACATCCACCCCCCACACCACAAAAAAATAATTTAAAAAAATACACACACGCAACTTAGAAATACATACCTCATTGATTTTATTCAAAATTAGGTGGTTTGTGATTGTTCCAAATGGCTCTGCAAGCTTTAGAAGCTGGTACCTTAAACTCTTTCCCCTCTGGAAGTCCAGAATGTGAACAACTCTGCTAAGCTCCTAAATAAATAAATTGAAAAAATTACTGAAGGCCACTAATTGACTTTAAGCAAACACTATTTGGCAGAAAAACAATGTACAGGATGTGAAGTTACACGTTTCAAGCCTTATCTATGTGAAAATAGCTAAACTGTAATTTTATTAGAGTTAGAAATGTTTCCAGATCAGTTACTTTTGCCAAAATGTACCCACATTTTGAGTTGCTACAATTCAGTGTTTAAAGGGACACCATTCTAGTCTGGTGTCCTCTGGCACTGTCCTTCCATTGAGCATTAAACTGCTTTCAATGTTTTAAAACTAAATTAATGTTCCCAGTAGCTCATCCTCCCCATGCCGCTTGAGTTAAAGAGTAAGCATTAGACCAGGGGTTCCCAATTAATTTTTTCTGTGGAACTCTTTGACGTAGTGTACACACACACACACACACACGCACTGACAAATACACACTCTTTGACAGACACACATACACTGTCACGGACAAACACATACAAACTTCCTAACAGACACATACAATTTATTTTTTTAAATTTTACTCCACTCAGTCCCCCTAACCTTTGGGAGTGCTGGTATGGAGTCTGTGTCCCATTGGTCCAGTGGGGCTGCTGGCCCAAGCCTGGGGTCCAGTGTGACTGCTAGGCTGAGCATGCGGTCCCTGGGGTCCAGTGGGGCTGCTGAGCGACGAGGGAGCAGTGATCTCCCTGCTCAGCTCCCTTGCGCGCCTCTTATTGATGCCGGAGTGACGTCATATTTCGGCTCCAGTATCACTGCTGTCCGCGTGAGGGAGCTTAGCAGGGAGATCACTTCCCACTGGTCCCACGCTGCCCGCAGCCATTTTATTTGTAAAAATTTTGGCGGAACTCCAATTGAGAAATGCTGCATTAAACTGAGCAGCACTGGACTGGCTGCTGTAATTGACAAAGTCATCATGCTGTTTTCAACCTATCATAGCACCCACTGCTGATATGAAATGGTATGGATAGAACAAAAATTGTAATCTCTGTCTTAGCCATAGTGTGATGGGTGTGAGTTGCCAGGGAATCTTAGTGTTAAACTGCATGAAAAAAGGTTAAACACTGAATGGAGGGACAGGGCCAAGAGACAAAGGAAACTAACAAATCCAATGTGATGATATTATAGCGCCTACACTGTCACTTTCATAAGTAAACCAAGACATATGATGGGTACATGCATCCAGCACATTTAGCAGTATGTAGCAGCAAAAACAAAAAGGATGAAGCAAAGGATAGCACCATATCCTAGGCAAGGAACACAAGTATGGCACTTGGAGTGTTCCTTCAAGCACTGCAGGAACATAGGTGTAAAAATCCCATCTGATTAATTGAACATGCACCATGGCTCCATACTGTTCCAATGCAGAGAGAAAGGGCAAAAATACTGTTGTACTAGATTAAAACATCTCCACAAGGTTTTACATTATACACACTACTCTTATGACTTTCTAGGATCGAGTAGTTAAGCAAGTTAATTGTATGAAGAAAAAGATTGAAACAAGTCAAAAGAAGTTGTAAGACAACAAATTACATTACAAGACTGCCATATTAATTCTTATAACACAATTTCTCAGATTTACTTTTCAGTAGAGTTATTTATATGCATATATACAAACCTGTCGGCCTTTCTGCATGTGTCTTTCTCTGGACATATCTTCATTTCCTGCAGGTTACAACAAAAATAAATGTCACTTGGCGTTTGTTTTTTTTCAGTTTGGAAAAAAAATTATCTTAGTTTGCCAAAGCATGTTAATAAATGTAAGTAAACTGTTTTAACAATTTGTTAATTTTCATGCTATGAGTTAGAACTCTAATGACTAAGTATAACCAGTGATTTAATAGTTAGTGGCCCACCGCTATTTTAAAATGAGATATTCTAGTACTGTATAGAGCTGGGCTGTCAAACAAAATGCCCGCGGAGCCCACAAATTTGGCCCGTGGGTGGACTCTTAGATTAAGGACCCATTCGCCCCCTGCAGCAACATAATAGCACACTAGGCTGGGCTGTTCCAGAGAGTTCAAGTCACTTCCTAACAGCTTGTTGAGAGCCATGTGAGGAGGCAAGAACAGGCACACACACAAGAGGTGGGAGGAAAGCCTGAAACCTCAGACTCCCATCTGCTTTGGTCAGCCAATTCCACTGAACCCCACAGAAGCCACCCTCCTGCACACCAAAAAAAAAAAAAAAAAGGGGGGGGGGGGCTTATTTGGAAACCTAGTTGGCCTCCTTCAAAGCTTTGTCCTGTAACTTCAAAAATGGCTAGCAAACCATGCATAAGGGGTACTGACATTCTCTGCAAAAGCAAAATCAGAAATTTTTTGTTTTGTTCCTTTTTTCTACAGTATCATACATTAGGCTGTGCACATGTTTAAGAGAAATACAAAGTGTGCAACAGGAATTCAAGATATCACAATTAAAGCATTTTGTTAAACTTTATTTTGTGTCCGGACCTAAGTGCCGCCAACTTTGTGTGGGCAGATGAAGGCCCTGTGGGACACGTCATATGCCTACACTAAATAGCGTTCTGAAATTCCCACGCCTGCCCAGTTAAACATTCGGACAGGAATTTCGTCTATTCATTCGTCAAAAAGACGAATGAATGAAAAGAAATTTCAAACGAATGAACGAAGACCTCATTCGTTCGAATAGTTTTATTACAAGGCGGGTGCTACTGGCTCACGGCTCCCTCTTTGTTATACTGTATGTGAAAATGGAAGCGGCGGGGAGTAGTGCTCCCCGCCATTTCCTAACTCCCCTCATGCCCCTTGTCATTCTATGAGGGTCAACATGACACTCATTAGCAAGCAAAATTAAAATCTCACGAATGCCCTTATTCACTATACAGCTAGTATGGGCATGTCTACTAAACAGTGAGCAGCCCCCGCCACCCCAATTCAAAAAAGGGGGGACCTAGCACAAGTCCCCCATGGTGGGGCAACTTCTAAAATAATTAACAGGAAAGGAAATAGTGTCCTCCCCGAGGAATGGGGACCATGAGCGGCAGGTGGGAGCCCTAAGTAACAAAGAAGGGGTGGGGGGAGGCTAAATGTTAAAAATATCATTACCAACAGGGTCCCCATCCCCACCCCCAAGTAGTAAACTTAATTTTTAAAACAGTCGACTTATTCATGGGTCAGTGCTAGTGAATTTTGACTCCCGAACACCGTTCTCCTATCTGGTCGGGAAGTTGAATGGGCTGGGGTACAAGTTTCAGCAGGGTAACCGAACAGAAGGGGAACAATTCCATTCAAATGCAGTACCCTCGACTTATCCATGAGTCATAGCATATTTCACAATTGTTGGTCAAAAAAACAGAACTCTGCTTATAGACGAGTATATACGGTATCTCTTTTTATTTGGCCTTTTTGAAAAAAAAAAAAAAAGAAGGTTTAACAAAAAAGACGACATCTAATAGTAATTATAATTTTTTTTTGTGTGTGTGTCCCTTACTATTTTTAGGGTGAGGGGGTAGGAAGGATTTATTTTTATTGAGGAGGAGGATGACTAGGGGCTTAGGGACCTTTAATCAATTGTGTGTTTGCGACAATAGGTCCCCCCACCTGTTACTTTTGGCCCCCACCCGCTCATGGGTGGGGGCCGGAGGTGCAGGGAGACAATATGTCCACTGCCCTTTTGATACTAGTTGGGGCCGCTAATAGGTGGTGGTCCGGGGGGATGCTAGGTTCTCCGTTCAATAGCCTCCACTCACGCATAGTTGGGAAGGGGGGTGACACTATGTCCTAACCCCCGTTCATTAATTTTAATCTCCCTTAATTCCGAATACTAAGTAATCTTTCCTTAGTATTCGTAAATTTGGCTAAAAGACCAATCTTGGTCTTTCAGCCTTTTGGTAGGTAGCTCCCTAAAACCGTAGGAATTAGGGAGCTATCTACTAAGCAGGTGCAAGATGCAAATGAAATTCTGATCCGAACAAAAAGTCCCGAATTGCGTCCTACCATGAATGGACAAACTGTTCTCATTCTGTTAGGAAGAAATTCGGTAGTTTCGCCGGCATCTTGTCTAAATGACATGACCTTTGGGAATAGAGAAAGGATGCATCCCAAGATCACGGAGGAAAGGGTGAGTATTGTGGGACAATTTCTTTGACCCACAGTAAGTGGATCAGAGCAGGTCAAGCGTAGGAAAAATACATAAGACAAAATTGTCCCTACTTTGTCTTATGTTTTAAAGAAAATTAGAGCAGACAGGAAGAAACGAAGAACAGATCCTGAGAGAGGGAGAGAAGAGGAAGCGGTTGGGGAAAGGTAAGTTAGGCACTTTAAGAGATTGGTGATAAATTAGCTGCATAAAGTGGGTCTAAACTACCCTTTGGAGCCTGAATTTAAAAATAAATAAATAAACAACCAACCTTCTTTGGCAAGTTATTTTTTGCTCCATTACGGTTAATGAGTTCACAGTGCCAGAAACACAAAATTCTGAAAAATATCTACTTTGACACAATGACGCATATATGTGACCAGTACAGAGAGAGGAAAAACAAAAGAAAGTGTCTGGACTCCCCTGGTGCCATCCCTCCTTTCAGCATTAAACCTTGTTTAATTACTTGAAGCAAAAATCCCCAAGAAGCATTAGCCTGAGTAGCTAGTGAGTGACAGAAGACTCCAGGCTACATCCATGTACATAAATAATCTCAAAATTTACACAGATTTCAAAAATAGGACTTAAACTTAGAGATGGCACAATGCTCAAAATTGGCCTAGCCTGTAGAATGCAAAAAAAATTAGTACTGTCTTTGCACAGAAAGGAGTTAACATTTGCTCAGTTTATTAATGCACCATATGTAGTAATATCAATAAAAAGCATTGTCTCTTTATTACACACAATATCTCTAGGTTCCTTTTACTGACCTAGGTGACCTCTGTGGCCTCCACGTCCTCCTTCTGGACCACTTCCCATGTGTAATGGAGGAGGAGGTGGTGGTGGTGGCCCCAATATTCCTGGTGCAGGATTAGTGGATTTCTGAAGCATAAATGGATCAGCCCTGTAGAAACATAACAGTTCTCAACATATCTAAATATAGAGAGTAAACAAAGCATCATTCAAATACTTAAGGGGCTTTAGACTTAATTTAGAAACATGAAAGTCCACCAGTCCCATGTTCTTAACATATTAAAATAAAGAAATATAGAAAATAAAAACACGTTTCTAATACTAGATTTAGAAAATCTTTAATAAAATACAAATTTTTTTTTACATTTAATTTTAACTTTAGGCAAAGAAGCATCCAACACAACTTGACACTCATTTACCAGTAACTAAGTGCATAGGGTTTTTGGAACAAGTGGATTTTGAGAGATGCGTATGGAATATGCATGCAAACTGTGGGTATTTACATGCCTGTTTGCATTCTCAACAATATCAGGAGCAAAGGTGGCATTGCAAGTTGTGATATTTGAGATCGGTTTTGTCCTACAAACCAAACCGTCCTTCAACCACTAAACAGATAAGTCATTACAACGTAAAATAAGTATAATGAAGATCACTACAAACACATATGACCAGCTGTGTGTTTTTGAATACCCTGCATTCAAAACAGATGTGAGTAAGAATGCAGGTGCGCTTTTGCTTGGAGGGCCATTGATGCAAATATAGACAATCTTTATCAGTTCTGGAGAACTCAATTCCAGTGTCTAGTAAATTGATTGATATTTGTACATTTTGATTTACTGTATTTCCCATTTAAGATGCAAAATCCCAGTTGAATCTGTCGGTATAGTTAAATGAATAGCCTGACTGTAAAAAAACAGATCCACCCAGTCTAAATTTTCACTCGCACTGGTCAGTGAAAATTTAAACCTGGCGAGTAGAAAAGCACTTCTGTTGAATATGCCATAGATCGTCCAGACTTGCAGTGGTGATTGATTTTCAAGGCCTGCTAGTGGCATAAGACTTGAAATTCAAGCCTTGCATCCAGGCCAAGGAGGCTGTAGTGCTGTACAGCTTTGTGGTTAACGTGTTGGAAAACCTATTTTTTGCCACAGAATTGTGGTTTATATAGTAAAAACAAATACACTTAAAGTCGAAGTGAACTTGCCCTCTGTTTGTAATAGCCCTCAAAAATGCAGTTCTAAAAATGGGTGCCACAGCACATGAGATCAAAGCATATTAATAAACAGTCTGATAATATCCACGCACAAAGTTTCAAATGAAAGCACATTATTATTTAAAGGGCATTACAGGAACTTACATTCCACGACCAGCATCTGGATTCCATTCAGGATATCTATATATATATATAAAAAAATAAAAAGTTTGATTTACTATAAACTAATAACACACACAACCATCATCCTATAGTAAAGTGGGAAAACCATTGAAGTCACAAGAACCTATTTTAATGCTATAATGTCTGAAAAAAACAACAAACTTTAGTACTGGGTGAGGATCAAGAAAGCAGCACCACAAAAGTGCAATACAATAATTTTTTAACCCCTGTAGAAGCTCAGACCCATGCTTACGTTCTTTTCTTTCATGGTCTGAGCAAATCTAGTACGCCAAAGTACTGCATTTCACAAAGATACAATCCCAAGGCCAATGTAAATATACACTCAGGGGACCAATACAACGTTAACGCATTTAATAGATATAGGCCTCATTAATATGCTGTGTTTTTTCCATGCTCAAAAATAAATATATATATATATATATACATATACACACACACACGAGTAAAACAGTACCCCCATGTACAGGTTTTAGGGTGTCATAGAAAGTTACAGGGTAAAATATAGTGCTAGCAAATTAAATTCTCTGGACTTTCGGCCTGGGTTGGCAGACAGGTCCCTCAATTTGCAATCAATAAAATTACTTAATTATGTAAAAATATTACATAACTACGCACGTAGAATTTAAATATATATGCATATTTATATATTTGAAGTCTACGTGTATATTTATATAATTATGTAATTTTGTATATGGACATCTGTATATTTCGTATTTTTATTTAATATATATTTCATTCTAAGTGTGAGTGTGTGTGTGTGTGTGTGTGTGTGTGTATATATATATATATATATATATATCTCAAAATACAGTTAGAATAAAATTTCATACATATATATTTAAAAAATTTTATTTTTACATGTTTTTATTTAATTTAAATTACTTATTTGCATTTTATAATATTTATATACAATATATAATTATATATACACACACACACGTGTGTAATTGTAAGTATTTTTATATTAATATATGTACATATTAATATAAAAATATACTTAGTATGACATTATATGAGATATATATATACACACACACATATATATATATATATATATATATATACATACATATATACATACACACACACACACACACAACTTATTTTTAATTAACATTAACCTTTATTATTTTTATGATTTTACACTAGCAGGGAGCAGGCAGACACTAGGACACCTTTTGAGCGATCACATGGCCCCAGGGGTCCTAATCCGCCGCGGGGAGACTGTCTGGACTGCAGGCAGTCTCCCCACAACGGGAGCAACTCCGGCGATCGGGTAAGTACATTGCACCGTTTGGACGGTTCAGGACCGTCACCGGTCGGCAATGCAAAAATGCAGATGACTGTCCTGAACCGTCCTCTGTCCTGAAGGGGTTAAAGCACAACCTGACTGCAGACAGTCAGAGAAACTACAAACAGGCAGTGGTATTTTTACTATATGCCTTCCTGTGTGTCCTTTCCTTCTATGGCAGATTACTTTGTAGTCTTTCTGAAGTGAGGGTTTGTGTCTAAAGAGACAGCTGTATTGTGCAGCATTCTGTAAATTATTTTTTAAAAACGAGAAAAAGAAACAAAAACACACACTAGATTTCAGCTTTCAGCACATGAGATTGAATGCATTAAACTAGTATTTGTGCCAAGAGAATGCATTTAATGTGTGTGTTTGTTTAATGTACCCAGTTCTCAAACAACCGACTGTGCATTTGTCTTTTTTTTTTCTTCTAACGGACATTTATAAAGCACCTCACCCCATAGAGAAATGTTGGGGCGGGTAGTTCAATCAAATAGGGAAGCATTTAATTTGAAGCTTATTTATGATCAGCATTAGAGGACATTAAAAACGTCCTTGTGCAATGTAGGAGGTCATCATATAAAGTATGATTGTTATTACGTCTAGTGGCGGTCAGGAAGTCATTGCCATAGCTACAGAATGGAATGTTTTACATTGTAGCACTAAAACTACATTGCCATTGAGGTAAAGTGATCTGGGATCCTACAGGGGACTTTAAAGAGTTGGTACTTATATCTGAATTGGTTTATATCAGGGTTAGGCAACCTTTTAGTAGTACTGTAACTTTTTGTAATTGAGGTGTGTATATTGATGTATTAAGCTTCTGTTGCTTTGTAATGTTGTAATTGTGCGTATGTGGGTTGTTGTATATGTACATGAGTAGTTTGTGGTGTTGTTTATGACATCAATGAATGTGGGCTGCTTGAGGGATAGTGTGTGTGTGTGGATGATATGTAATAGGTGTTTGGTGGTATGTACATGTGTGGGGCTGCGTATGTGGATTGTCAGTGGTGTTTTTGTGGGGACTGTTTGTGCTATTGGTATAATGGGGAGGCTCCTTCTGCAGCTGTGTAAATCGAGCAGTGTAAGTGGCTTCCCTGGGGTCCAGGCAGGCCAGGTACAGGTCAAGGGCTGCAATACCTGCTACAAGCTGCTCTACTCCAATATGGATCGCCATTTAAATGTGCAGGGAGGAAGTGATCTGAGATCCCCTACCTCCCTCCTGCTCCCCCACCCCACACAAAAATCTGGCACAAAAGTCTTAGGTACTTGAATTTTCACAGTTCTGTTTGCAAATCGTGTTCACGGTTTAGTTAATATATTTTCAGAAGCAGATCTAAAAAACTATTCTTAAGACTAATATGGGAAATATACATGCACTGTTAACAGTCATTTATCAAAAACATAGGTTTCAATGCTACTAAATAGATTGTGCAAAAGGTATATAAAAATCCTAAAGTTATACCCAAAATCTCACATGCAGTTATTAGATTATAGCTTTTAAAGATGTTGGACCTAAGTTTCTGATATTTTGCAATAAAATGGACGCTGAACCACAAATGAAGAAACAGTAACTTACATTTCAAGAAGCAGCTGGCAGCGTCTCCTGTGTGTCGGTCCATTGATGTGCTGGTTCCACTCCTAAAATGATTGTAATTGATAAAGGGGAGTGGGGAAGAGAGAAACAATTGAGAGAAATATAGTTTTTTTTTTTTTTTTTTACTTTGCACATTTTTGTGAAGAATGATCCTCATACACTCCCTTTAATCTTTAAATTTTACCTTTTTTCCCCCTCTGCTGTCTCAAAACACACTCGTACATTCAGCAGCAAATTCGAGCTTGGACAATAGAGCATAATACATTTAAGCTGATGAGAGAACCCGAGGTCTGAACAACCCATGAAGCATCTCCCTCCATGCCCCAATGCCATTTTGATTGGTGCTGTGCTTTGTCAGTAGCAATGCACTGGGTATACTATTTTCAATCTAGCAGGAGATGCCTGTCATACTAAAAATAGGTAGCAGATGACAGCAACATACAAATTCCCTTAGATAATATCAATACTGATATTGGAGATAAACCAATGGCATTAGGATTAACATTGATTATTAGGTTTAGAATAAGTATTAGTTTAATGTTATAAATAAGATTAGGCTAAGGATGAATATTAGAATTGGTATTAGGAATGAAATATCCCTGCTGACATCAGTTTCTATGGTTAAGTAAATTATTAGGTTATAAATTAGAGTGAAGTTTAAGATTAGATTTGGGATTAGAATTATGGTTCCATTTAGGATTAGGAATTAAGATTACCATAATTACATTACCCATATGTATACATATGGGGTATTGTATTTAGGGGATGTTGTTGAGCACAGTTAAGATAATATTACAGTGGATCACGTGACATAAATAAGCAGAAATATAAAATGGTGTATGTAAAACTGAGAAATAAAAATACACCCCTCAAATATAAAAAAATAAAATGGCACTTCAATAAAGCTCAAGATAGATCACAAGTGAGAATGCCCTGGTGTCCACTTCTGCAAATGGTATGCATATATAGTGTAATTTAAATATATGTATACTAAAATGCCCCATAGACCCTTCTTCAAATTGCATTTTTTTAAAAAATAAAAATGTTTACACGGCAGGGTATTATTTGAGCCTGGTATTTACACACACAACTTTACAAAAAAGGTATGAAATATGAGATATAGTTAAAGGGACACTCCAGGCACGCAGACTACGTCTGCCCATTGGAGTGGTCTGGGTGCAAACTCCCATCACTCTTAACCCTGCAAGTGTAATTATTGCAGCTTTTATAAACTGCAATAATTACCTTCCAGGGTTAAGTCCTCCTCTAGTAGCAGCCACTAGAGGGACTTCCGTGTTTTTAAACATATTTTAAATGACGCTGGACGTCCTCACACTCTGCATGAGGACCTCCAGTGTCGCCGGAACCCCCACAGGAAAGCATTGAATAAAGCTTTCCTATGAGGTCTAATGCCCGGCCATTGCTGCGCATGAATATTAGGTCCCCCTCCCCCCCCCCCGCTGGGAGGAGTCTGACCCAAAGTCGAGGGACATCGGTGCTGGATTCAGGCAAGTGTCTGAAAGAGTTTCAACCCCTTCAGCAACAAGGGATAGGGGGCAGGAGGGAGGGGGAACTATAGGATTCTCTAGTGCCAGGAAAACGGGTTTGTTTTCCTGCACTGGAGAGTCCCTTTAACCCCTTCAGGACACATATGTGTGACATGTCATGATGATTCCCTTTTATTCCAGAAGTTTGGTCCTTAAGGGGTTAAGCACAATTTAGTGTTTAATCTTAATCTTTATTGCAGTATCTTACAAAACAAATGCTAAATTGAAATGTACATGTACAGAAAATATATGCAAAAATACAAACTTTGAAAGAAACTGATGATAAAATGGCTGTACAATAAGTCTCAAAATATACCATATGACATACCTTGTGATGTCTACTTTCAAAAGTAATTTGTACGGTTAAACTGCTAGATAGTGTAAGATAGTACAGTAATAAGATAATATTGCTATATTTGTGCATGTAAAAAAAAAAAAAAAATTTACTACATAGAATTGCCAACATAAAGCTGAGATTGGTTGTTAAATGGCTATGTAAAAGTGTCAATATCCTTAGGTAAATAGTCTGTGATGCCCACTTTATATTAATACATATGTGTGTGAGGCAATTTTATTTTCTGAGATTGCTATTAAGCTTACAAGTCAAACATACCAAACTCTTAAATTGCTCGACATTGAAATGTTATTTGTATGTTGTATAGATTAATTTATTTTAAAATTACTTTAAAGCTGCACTAATTATGCACACATTGTGTGGAAAAAAATTTTTTCCCCCCTCCACCTTTTTACAAATTTTATATTATATATTAATATAAATATATATATATATATATTTCACATCAAACTAAAGTCCTTTTTGTCCGTTACAAAATACTATATACTTAATAGATAATCAAAAACTGTTTTAAGAAGAAAAAAAAAAAATGCTGGTTTCGATTAGAGTTACCATTTCTGTGCTCCTACCCCCCCCTCCATGCTTAAAGAAAAAAAAAAAAAACACAACAACAATCTTGTATCTGTACCAGCACATGTTCTCCCTTTAACCAGATTCTCCTATACTGGTGTCCCTCCCCTGGTTGCTAGCAAAAGGATGTAGGGGTAAAACATGGACAGCATGGAAAGGGGGAGGAGCCTTATACATTAAGACCCTGGATTGTTAAAGACTAAATAAGGATTCTGTATAGGCAACATCACGGTTACATGGTATCTAATTTTCAAAGACTGGGAAAATATAGCCAGAAAATAATAACATAAAAAAGGACCTTGTTAAACTTCTTTACATTAATAGGTTAGGCAAATCCTAACACATCACAGTAGTTTTAGCATATCTGTCATGATAGTGTGAACTTGTCATGCGGAGGGAGACAGGTGATCCTTCCACAGTTTTGTCATGTCTGGGAATATGATTGCATTTATTATATTGATGATCCTATAACAGAGGTCAAAATCAGATGATGGAGCAAGTTTACGGTGGTATAAAACATTCTCAAATTTGAAGCTAGATGTCGGAGATGACAGGGCAAGTCCATAGTTAGTTGTAAAGGTCAGCTGTGGGTGACAGTACTTTAAGCATGAGTCAATTGAGCATGGTCCCGGTTGATATTGGATACAGGAATACTTTTTGAGAGTGTTTGCTGAATAGATCGTCAAAGAGACTAGACGTCTGTAGAAATGTTTTCAGAGATATGTTATGAATATGAGTGAGTAGAGAAGAGGCTATTAAGGCTGTTAAGAGACTCTACAGCAGGATCTGTATTGGGTCATGGAAACTTAAGACCACAAATGTAAATTGTAGCTGGAAATGCATAATGTGAAATGTCACAAAAGATAATATAGCTAACATTTGTTGAGTCACAAATATATGCAGGAAGAACATGATTGCACATATAAGCGAGTTGTCTTATCTAAGAGAGCTGGAAGCTACTAAGCAGGTGTTTCAGTTAGCCCTCCTGAGCGAAGCCATGCACAGCCGAGTGTAGCTATGCAAGAGAGATGGAATCGCTCTGTCCAAAATAGTGGAGGTAGGGACAGGCACCAGACAGACCCAAATTAAGAAGTGAAACTTTTCTACTGGTCTGACTACTTACACTGGATCTGTCACTCTCAGCACCGTAACAACTACAAAACACTGTAGTGGTTGTGGTGCTGGGAGTGAACCTTAAAAGAGCATGGGATGGGCAAAATACCACTGCAACATAGATTTGTCAAACCCAGCTGTAAGGTATTAATAATGAGACCTTAAAAAAAAAAAAAAAAAAAAGGCTGTTTTGGACAATATATGATACATAAAAAAAACTAAAAATAAAACTGCTAAAAAGCTATAAAATTTTGTGTAGTTGACCAAGTTATCTTTGTATGCTGCTAGGTTATGTTGTGAATGGTTTATAAAAAAAAAAAAAATAAAAAAAAAAAAAACAATATATAAAGTTAATTCAGGGGGAAAGAAAATCTGGAACGTAAAATAAATCTTTAGAATTGCTTTTTTTATTTTTTATTTTTTTTTTTTAAATATACATCTTTGCAAGGTTTGTTAAACCAGGCTTAAAGGGGAGTCTGCAATTTCAAAATCAAGCATGCAGAGCAGAAACAATGAAAACTGTTTACTTTATTATAATCGATTATTATTATTCTCTAGAGAAATGTAAAAGTTAAGAAAGGAAGCATAATTTCCAAAGAGTAGGGCTGGAATAAGAAACTGAACCGAATTTTAAAAAGGAAGGTAAAAGAACCAGATGTACAGGTGTGTGGAGGCACTCAAGTAATTCAAAGTGGTAAAGCAGACGTGCCTCCACTGTAGGTGATGGGGAGAATGAAAGTAGTTAAAAATGCACAGCATAGTGCATGTAAGACCATCATCTACATTTATTAAACGGACGTTTGAAGATTGCAGTAGTTTTCTATACAGCAAACCAAAGCAGTAGTTTGCAACGGAATTTGAATTTTCTGTACAGCTGGTCTATGCAACAGTTTAGATTACAGACACAAGACCAAGTCGAGTAAACTACATGATTAGACAGGACTTGAATTTTGAAGCAAGTAAAACCTTAAACAATGGATATTCTATAAAGCTAAACTTTTGGGCCACAGCTGCTGATATCGTGGACCAATCTGGAGGGGAAGAGGGCAGATAAAAGTCTTTCTTAACAGACAGTTAAGGGCAAAAATCAAGCTCTTTAAACCAAAAAAATAGGTAGGAAACTAGATTGCAGCTTAGACAGAGGACCTTTAATGTGTGCGCTCATATATGAGCAGTGGGCGGTGTCCAACTCAGGAAGGTTAATGAGTAGTTAAAGTGGTGCAGTGATTTCTAGTACCAAAAAAAAGCAAAAAAAAAAATAAAAAAATCACACCAAGGTTATGTAGGCATAGTCTTTAATGGTGGTACTTTTTGACAGTAAAGAAACCACCAGTGAATTTGTCAAGAAGAGAAACAAAAAATGACCTGTAATTATTGAACGTTGCTGCCAAAAAAAATAAATAAAAAAAATCTCCTCATAGAAAGAGACTTGGTACTTCAAGAGCAGATTTCGTTATTGGTTCTGCCTTTATTAGATAATTTCAAACCAGTAGGCGCACGCATAATAAAAAATGCTATTTCAATAAACTGAACACCAATTGTTTGACCAGTTGCCAGTGGGAAACAGATGAAAAGAAATTATTCCTGACACACAATGGCATCAAAGTTTTATGAAAGGATTCAAAAAGAAAAAACAAAAAATACATACATACAATAATATATATATAAAATGACAAGCCCCCAACCATTTTGGGGAGAAGGAATATTTATTTTGAAGCAATTTAAAGCATGGCAAATAAGAAGGAACGTTAGAAGAATATTGAGAAAAGTAATGCAAGAATAGGAAACAGATGAACAAAAATAAATTGTATGTATGAACTCACCTGCTTAGTATGAGCAGCAATATCACATATGGAACATATGTGGGGGAAGCCTTTAGGTAAAAATCCATGGAAATCATCAATATTGCTACTTGACGGCAATCCTCTTGGTTTTTCAAAAAGTGATCTTTCTTGTGATCGGCTGTAACCCAAACGGTCATACTCATTTTCAAATTTGCTATAAGGGGTTTCAGAAAACAGATTCTCTTCTCTAAACCTCTCGCGCTCTCTTAATCTGTCATCTTCAAAATCTAGTCGGTCATGAAAACTAGTTTCTCGGGAACGATTCCCATGATCATAATCAACAATAGGGTTCAAACCAGATGAACGATCATCAAAACTATCTCTCCTGAATGGTCGTGCATCATCCCAGTCATCACTAGGACCTCTCAACTGTTGATCTCGAGATCGACCTTCTCTGAAAGCTAATAAAGGAATTTCTTCTGATCGTCTTCTTTTAAGTTGTAGAAGAATCTGGGGCAAGTTTTCGGGAGTGATTTTCTCCTCTGGATAGCGGCTTAACTCATCCAAATCTCTAGAAGAAAGACCAAAACTGGCCAAAATTTTACTGGCCTGATCAGAATCTCCTCGATGTTGAGAGGAGAGTGAGGATGGCGCTCTATTACCAATGTTAAATATAGAGGGCAAACTTTGAGAAGAGGAACTAGATGACATTGGGTTATGAGATCCTTGCAAATTTAGCTTTGAAATTGCTCCAAGGTTCATTAAGCTAGCAAGACGGCTAGATCCTTGGCTCAGTCTTCCAAGAGAGGATGGTACATTTAAGGACTGATTAGCAGCAAGAAGACCTACTCCTGTTGCATCACGTCTGTGATGAGCTGACATATCTCTATTTACTGATGAATGCTGATATGATTTTGCCATTGTAGAGCTATTTTATTTTTTTCCCCAAAGTTGAAATGTCAGTGGAGCAATACGAGGGAAAAGTCCCACTAAGAAACAAATTTATGCTTGGGATGTGGGTATGCCAAGAATTAGAAACAACTTTTGAAGAATCTTCTTGAAGCAGAAAGATGGCACACAACTCTGTAGAAAAACAAGCATTTTTAGTCAAACCAGCCAAAGTACAAAAAGGTTTACATCCTTCCATTATATCAATTTGAGCCATTAAAATAGCCCCTGATCTGAATAAGAAACATAGAATTTAGTAGTGGATTTAAAAAAAATAAGTGCAGCGTTTCAGAAACCAGATATATCTATTTAAGAGCAAATCTATTTAAGGAGCCATGACAAAATATACTATTTAAGACAATATACATTAATACACACCAATATATTTATGGATCGAATTAACACAAACCTCTCATACCTATTAACTCTTCATTCAAATCAATGTATTCCTATCTGTGCCTCACCACTATGGTTTGTCTTTCAAAGCACACTCATCACATTTGCTCTGCCCTACCTCATTCTATGCTACGAGGGATAGCATGAATTTCTCAATAAATTATTTACACAACGCTTTTAAATTTACTTATTTAAATCAATACACCAAAATTTCAAGATGAAATGTTCTTGTACGTACTTCTGATGCCCTCACAGATAACAATGGCCTAGGTTATATCCCGATAAGATCGGCAACCAGAAGAGCAGCTTTAAGGAAAATTTAGTTACATTCTCATTTCTTGTGAAGAAAAAAAAAAGTTTATATTCATTTTAGTCAATATTTTTAAAATTATGTTTTTACTTTTACAGCAGTGTGAGTGGCAAATTCCTTCTAAGAGTATGACAGTTGTATGTGATCCTCTGTAGGACCAGCTTTCGAGGTTATGGAACGCCTTGCCCTAAGTTCAATGACAACAAAAGTCAAGAAAAGCATGCATATACTGTTGTCAACAATCAAAACCAGTTCAGGTAGTGACAATAGCACAGTATTTGATAGTGTGAGACAACTTACAATGTGATCTGACTTCCCTATAATCAATATGAGTTTTTAGACTAAGTATTGTTTTGCGATTTGTCCTCCTCAATAGCATAATCTAACTATGATGGCTTCTATCTCACAGCATCAAATACAGTGCAACTTATCAATTGAGGATAATGTGACCGTGTTTCAGAGTATTCTACATAAGCTGAGATTCATCTTATGATTAAATCAAAATGAATATGATGAGTTTGCCCCAAGAGTAAATTGGTGTTTAAAAACAGTCAAACATGTTCAAACAATATCTATCTGGGCATAAAATGTCAAGTCCTAGGCTACTAGCCAAGTCTTAAAAATTACTTCAGGAAGCATGGAGGGTCCATGGCTTGCCAGGGCTATGTTTTCACTCACCAATAGCTAGTGTAAATTTGATAGAGAGATCAAATTTCAATATCTATATATCTCCTCCCTGATTTCAGAGTCTGTAACCAAAGTGCAATGTATACAAATGAAATAGTTACCCGATTATTGCTCAACCAGTTCTAGAATAACAGTCAAACTAGTGCCAAAATAACTCAAGTACAGTATATGTAGGCACAAATACCTAGTAGCTATGATAAAAATGCACATGACACTGCAAGAGAGACAAGTACCAAGTCAGAAGTTACCAGAAGACAAAACTCTGTTTAGGATAATTCTGGCCTCCAGCTCTATTTTGAATTTTTATGGTAGGAAGATTTTGTCCAGTCTTGTTCTTTAAGTGCTATATTAAATTATCAAGTTATTTAACAGAGCAGTGTTCAAAACATACCAAAATCAAGACAAAACAATATTTTAATTCCACAAATGGACATGTTTCTGAAGAGGGGAGTGGGAGATATCAACTCAACATTCTTAACTACAACATATTTGGGAACGCAAAATATTATAGAATTAATAAGCTTTTCTCAGTGTATACAAGAAAACACAAATTAAGTAGATTAGTTTCCAGGCTTGTGCGTTTCTAGCATGTTAAAAAAAACAAAAACCTTCCCTTTCTTCTGTAGCAGATGTTGATTTCATTGTCTGTGTTACTGTCCTATAATTCAGATAACCTAAACCTAAGTGTTTACCATACGTGTCCATTAAATCAGCCAATATGGGTCTCACCTGTCATAAATGATAAAAGCTAATGTTTGGAAATCCTGGATTAAGGGGACAGTAAAGCAGCGAATTGACAATTCTATTGCAATATAAGATCTATTCTTTAAAAATGTTCCAGACTATACAAAAACATTAGGCCAGAGCGCAGGTAACGTTCGCTTAGTTTTTACTATATACACAAACATTCCCAGTGAAGAGCCCAAAGATGTCATGGACTAAATAATATTTTGAAAACTGAATACGGCAAGCATGACAGACAACCACGATGCATGAAACAAGAATGTCTGAAGGTGGAGGTAAAGTGTAAGAAAAATGTGTGCAATGCAGGGGTAGGCTGCACATGAACAAGTTGCACATGAAGAAAGGGAAAGCAATCCACCATGAGAGCAGGTGGGAAAGAACCACTGGGTGGTAACATGGTGATGAAGATATGGAGTGGAAGGTAGATGTTGGGGATGGAGGCGGCAGGTGGCATTGCTATCATTGTGCAGTGTGTGGAGAACAAAGGGGTGGAGAGATTCAAAGAAATGCAGGCGGCAAGGTGGGGGTAGGGGTCCGAGAAACACAGCACTGGAGGTGTTTCAGATCAACACAGAGAGCAAAGGAAGGCAAAGTTTCAGATCAGCGCAAACGGCAAAGGTGGTCTTTCACAGAAAAGCAGACGGCAAAGTGAGTGTTTCAGAGAAATTCAAAGTGGCCACAGGAAAGGTTTGAAAAGAACTCATATGGCAAAGGAGAGGAAGAACTTGATTTTGCAATTTTACTGTCCACACACCAAAAATTTCCAATTTAGTGAAGTACTCAAAGAAGACCTGCACTAAATATTTTGTAAGTTGAAAAGGTGAGCATGACAGGGACAACAAGTGCAGGAAACAAGGCTGCATGCTGAGCTGGGGTATGTTGTAACATATTACACTTTAGCAAAGAGCTACTGGGTTGAGGACTTGGACCAGGATGGCCAAATTCAACTGGTGGTGGGGAAACAATCATGATGGTGAGGAGATAAAGTTGATAGTGGATGCTGGAAATGAAGAGGTAGGTGGAAGTAACTGGATCCACCATTATTGGGGAATAAAATAAAAATACAGGTGAGGCAAAATGTAGTAGATTTCAGAGAAATGCAGACAGCATTGGGAAAGGGATGAGTTTCAGAGAATCTGAAAATTTGGTGGGGAAGGATTTCAGAGAAATAAAGACAGCAAAATACTGGGGACAGAAATTCCAATAAATGTAGATGACAAAGTATGGGGAAAAGGAATTCAGAGAAAAACAAATTGCAAAATATAGGGGAAAGTATTTCAGAGAAGCAAAGAAGCAAGAGAATTCAGGAAAATTTAGACAGCAAAGATGAGAGAGGCTTTCAGAGAAGCAAACAACAAAATATGCGTTGAGGGTAAAGGTTGAAGAGAACAGCAGACTGAGGGCAATGAAAAGTATTTAAGCAGGTGGCCTTGGGGATTAAAGTTTAAGAAAAGTACAGTTGGCTCCAAAGAAAAGCAGCCAGTTGAAGAATGAGGGTTTGAAAGAAACAGAGGAGGAAGAATCTCAGATAAAACATAGACAGAAGGGTTGGTAGCAAACCAAGATAATCAACTATTCTGCAGAAGCTCTGACTGAATTATATTGGGGCATAAATCAAAGGAGAATATTTGATTCCAGTCATCCAAACAAAACTACACAGTATAATCTAACCCAATAGTCCCAAGCATCAAGAAATGGTTTTCAGTACACACACGATAAAATTTGCTGAAAATGCATGTTTATCAAACACCAATTACCATATACTGACAAACACTGTATATATTTTAATAATTTGTGGGAGGTTTTTGTGTTTTTTTTTTTTTTTTAATGCAATGACCATGGCCACTTCACTGATTTGAAGAGCTCAGGATGCTTTGAGTATGTGTACCCTGGAGTCTGTAAATCCACCCTTTGGCAGCATCAATAGGGCATCATTAGTGATCCTGGAAAGAGCTGGAAAAGGTCAATACTGTGCATTTGTCTATGCACAGCGTGGCATTCATAGTCTGAGAGTGATCAGCTGATGCTATCAGCCAATGAATGAATGGCAGAATCAAAATAGTTTGCAGAAGCCAGATGTTGTAAAAGTGTTAAGGAAAGCAGTGTGAATCGAACACATGAGAGGTGTGACTAGGCCAGATATACAAATTGATATAACTGCTAAACAGAGAAATGAGCAGTGAGACTGCAGGGGCCTGATCTATATACACCAAAACCACTTCATTAAGCAAAAATTGTTAGGATATATCTCTTTAATCCAGACCTGAACCTGCTACTGCATCCATCCATTTTCCATGTCACCAAAAAGATTGAGGAGTTATTGCAGCAACCTGGTACCCTAGAACTACTCAACAAGCAGTCTGAGCATCTTCAGCAGTATAGCTAACTAAAGGAATGAGTGATTAGTAGCTCAACCTCTCACAAGGCATAATAAAGACAAGAAGATCTCTTATTGAGCAACAGGCATGGTTTTCATTCAGACTAAGATTTCAAATCAATGTGTGACAAACAAATAGAACTGAGGTAACCCAATGGGAAAATGCAGTGACAGAGTTGTTACAAGAGTGCTGGGTATGTACCCAGCCCTAGTCCAGGGAGGGGGGAGGGGCAAACATAACACAATGGAACATCAGTGGCCACTTGCGATGAGGCTGCCCAGCTCTCCAACAACTTTCCCGTATAGCTTCAAGAAAGGCACTGGTGTTTGCCAAAATTACCTACAGGTAAAGGTGCAGACACCTACTGGAATATAATAAGATGGGGCAATATATTTTAAACAGTATACTGTGCACAGAATTAACTCTTTCAGTTGCGCCAATACACCTTTGTAAATTGCACTCTTCCCAAATGTTAACCCTTTGTAGTTTACACACTCTTTAAAAGCTAGTAAAGATTAACCCTAAATTCTCAATTCCAGTATTCATATGGACTAACCCTTTACGTGCATGCAAATTATCCAGCTGTTTCTTTTACTATGGATGCAATGATTCTATCATTTCTTAGCTGATACCAAAGCATCATGGGGAGATTCCACTGCAACACATCCATATCCAGGCAATTGAGTGCAATTTAAACTTTACTCCCTTGTTTCGTGACCACAGTAAGAAGTTCAGTATTATTCACTGGGGTGAGAGTAAGAGAAATAAAAACTGCTATTTTCTGAAGAGATACATGCAAAAGTAGCAAGGATTACTCTCACACATCGCCCCAGTGCCATGTCTTGTGCAAAGTGCAATCAGGAACTGTTCTGATCACTACACAGCTTATACACTGTTGGCAGCATGTTACAACCACTGTTCATTTATAAGGCATTTCTGCTCATCCCATGTGATATTTAACTGCAGCTGGGAGATAAGACACTTATCCAAAACTCTTGTACATAGGATCAGAGCCCAATATTAGACTCCTGATTTGTGGTTCTTAGCCAGTGAAGGAATTGTTTCCTACAGTACTAACACTAGCATTTAGAACGTAAAAATGTGATAACACCACTACCCATTAATAACAAAATATCTAAAAAAATAAAAATCATTTAATGCACTAGTGTATAAATAGCCTAATAAAGTAGCATTTTTAGCAAAGCACATAAAAACAAACCGTAATGGGAACAGAAACCATAATCAGGTGAATATATTTCCTGCTGCCAGTGAACAAGGTAACAGCTCTCTGCAACTCATACTCTGTTAGACTTGTATGTCATCCCATATTTTCTGTGCCAGGTCAAAAGAATAAAAAGGGTCAAAGTAGTGCATAACATAACTTACGGTACCAACTATCTCTCCATTTTTAAACCAAACAAACAAGAATGCAAAATGTGCCAGATAAAGCCTTCTTGAAAAATTGAAAACTTGCTGTAACAATCGCACATACCGGTTGATTATTTAAGAAATGCATAAAACTTTTGCAAAAAACAGCGAATTGTATGAGTTTATACACAGGTCATTTGACATACAAAATATGATGCTAAAGTTGGCTTCATATTCAGGTTGGCTTCTTGTTCATTCAGCTTTATTTCATGAAAGTATGTATTTACTAAAGAACAATCAAAAAATGATCAACCTAGCTTGAGCCAAGTGATACTGATCATAAAAATTGACACCAAACCTGGCATCCTAACACCCATCCATACACATCAATGAGAATATGTGAAGTAACCAAGCTTTATCTATAAGAAAACCATCCCGGCTCACCCAAAGCTGGCTTATTTTCTAGTAACTGAGCATCCCTCGATTAGAAAAAATTTAAAGGGACACTATGGTAACCCAGACCACCTTTAACTCATTATAGTGGCCTGGGTGCAGTGTCCGTGTCCCCTTAAAACCTGCAGTCGAAAACTTTCTCCTCCTCCATAGCGACGTCATCGGCTGAATGCGCACGCGTCATCTCAATGCTTTCCTATGGACGCTGGCGTCTTCTCACTGTGAAAATCACAGTGAGAAGCACGGAAGCGCCTCTAGCGGCTGTCAATGAGAGCCACTAGAGGCTGTATGGTTAATACACATAGCAGTTTCTCTGAAACTTATGTTTATAGAAAAAAAAGGGGGTTGAACCTGGCTGGACCTGGCACCTATAGTGGTCTTTAATATAATTGTCCCTTCAAAAGCAAATTCACATCAGATTAAAAATATATTTTTTTCATGCAGGCTGTGTCAGTCTAGGACCGGTCTAAGGCTGTATAAAACAAAATAGATTTTACTCCTAAACGGCACAGAATCGGACAATATGACTGCAGGAGCATGATCTATACACCAAAACCATTCAATTAACCTAAAGTTGTTTTCGTGCTAAAAATATGCCATAATAAAATGTAGGCAGCAGCAATGGGATTTTTTTAAGTCAAATTTTTCTCGGCTGTGACGCTCCCGGTTTACTAACACAAAGTGACAAACTATGTTTTATATAAACTGGTATAGGAGATGAAAAGTTTAAAATAAATGCACCCATAACTGTATGCACAGCTCAGGGTTTTGAGCACACTGCCTACAATCCAACAGCTTTACAAGAAAACCTTAAACTTGCATTTTACATATACAAATAGCCCGACACGGGAATTACATTTTAGGACATAATTGCGCCCTCTGTAAATGGACGGAGAGGGTCCTTATCGTTGTCAGTTTTGGGCCTCACATTTACTCTATCCGCGCCGATCCTCTACTCTGCACTGACCGCTCCATTACACCGCAAACCATGGCAATCACCGGAAAAACAGAAAGCTTTGTTTTTACACGAGATACAGAGTGCCCCCCTGCCAGGATATAGACCGCCATGCTTCACGGCCATCACACCGGACACTCCGGACTTACAGGACACTCCGCGGCCATTTTAAACGGCAACAAAATGAAAGCAGCGCCGTGCGGCCCGCACGAGGCCCAGGCGGACAGAGAGCAACCTGCGCCATCACCGGGAAACCGGCGCCGAGGCAGACCAGGCCGCACCGCGCACTGACACCCGGAACAATAAACAGCGAGTATGGCGTCACACGGCCCGGTACACAGAGCAAACAGAGAACCGGCCACACCGGAGCACGGCCCATAGGGAGAACATGGCACACTTACGGAGACCCGGAGCGAGCAATGGCGGCCGCAGAGCTGGGAGTCTGTTCCTCTCCTCTCACAGAGATCCTGTAACTCCGCTACAGACACCGAGCTCCAATCACTCGAGCTGAACAATACCCACAATGCACTGCGTGCAGAGGGAGGTGCAGAGAGGGGAAACACGTGTCTGCCGAGCTCCACCTACAGACCGCCCGTGGTATACACGGGGTCAGTCAGTGTGCAGCCACCTGGTGATATAACCAGACTGGCATGGACTGGGAACTGAACGGCAAAATGGAAACAATAAATAGCCCAGCAGTGACTGTAGATGAGACATAAATGTTTATCATTGTATTTTGTTTTTGTCCCAAATCAGCAGTTTTTTTTTTTGTTCACTTTTTATTTTTGACATCTTGGGTATTGTCAAAATAGCATGATATTATCCGGTAACATTGGGTGTCCTACTGAGAGGTATAATATTATACATAAAAAGTGAACGATATCCGTCAAATAACATACGTAGGGTAGACTGCACGTTTTTTGTTTTTTTTAAGTATTACAAATAAAGACTAAGATAGCCCAGTATAACTAAGGGGGAAAAAAATATAGCACAACTAGTTCTTCGAATTCGACTTTTAATTAGCCAAAAGTGGAGCATAGCGCAGAGAAATTGGGCCATTGTGTATACTCTTGAGATATAGCTCACAAAATATTTCTAATAAGCAAAATAAAAAGGAAGGAAGCTCTGACGGGCAGTTACACCGCCTAACCTGTGGGGTGAAATGTACGCTTTCTTCATTATTATTATCGCCATTTATATAGCACCAACAGATTCTGTAGCGCTTTACAATATTATGAGAGGGGGGATTTAACTATAAATAGGACAATTACAAGGAAACTTACAGGAACAATAGGTTGAAGAGGACCCTGCTCAAACGAGCTTACAGTCTCTAGGAGGTGGGGTATGACACACATTAGGACAGTAAATAGCAATAAAATAAGGTGGGAGTGAAGCAGAGCTGAAGGAGAGAGTATAGTGCTGCCCTTTAGGAGAGAGCAAGAGACAGGTATGTAAGGTAGAGGTTACTCTGGGAGGCCATAAGCGTTCCTAAAGAGAGGTTGAGATGGTGCCCTCGGTACAATAAGATGTCAGGCTGAATCACCCTATACCACATGCAGGCCAAAATAATGGTGTCCCACTCCATGCCAGAGTTGTTGTCCCCACTCTCCATAGACAGATTCTTCATGCAGGACTGGGTAGCTTGTTTCCTATCTTGTAGTGGGTTACAGCACCACAGGTGCTTTCTGCTCCAGGGATTAAGGCGGGTCGGTGCCCCATGTCCATAGGTCCTCCAGTTCCAGCTGTTAGGATCGCGGTCCTGCAGTTTCTCCAGAACACAGACGACTCCTCGGGTGTATGGACGTCAGCTTCAACGTAGCTCCAAGCAGGCCCCCTGCCCATAAATGGAGCATGAAGTGGATTTTCCATAAGAGAGAATAATATTATCGTCGGCATGCGTCTGAGTTCCAACAGGAGTGGTAGGCTCTTGCGGTCGATTATTAAGTCGGTGCCAGAAAGCTTGGCAGACCTCGTCAAATCTTTTCTTGATTGCCTCACTCCAAGTCTGGCCCTCCAGGCTCATCTGATCTCAATGGGACTCGGGGGCCATTTTAGGTGCTCCACGCTGTCGGTGGATCAATGAGATTTGAGGCAGCTGTCGTAGGTAAGCGAGTGATCCTAGTGGGGACTAGGATATCCCCCACCTGTCCAAGGGGGTTGGGGGGAGACAGGACTGTAAGCAGTGTGCTGTGAGATTCTCGGGGCCAGAGCCGGGAGAATGGCTGCTCCTCCCAATCACCAGACCACCAGTCTTGTTGGATCCCCGGGTCAAAGAAGGTATGTAGCCGATGTGACCCCTCCGTCTGGGTGGCATAAGTTGCAGGAATTAAGATGTGTAATACACGAGTAGTTGAGGTTCCACAACGGCATGGCTTTATGCTGTTATCGCTGTATTTTTGATCGGTTCAGCAGGAGCTTTTACAAAGTGCATACGGCCATGTTGGGTGCCAGGCCTCGACCTCATAAAAATTATTTATTACTGTCACCTAAAATGGTTGCAGTCTGAGAGTACACCGATCAAATTGCCAGAAAAAAACTGTTAATTTGCCTTGAAAAATAAAGGATTTACTTACTGAACACTTACAGCATCATGATTAAGCAAAAGAAATCAGAAAAACTGAGTTGCAGTACTAAAATGAGTGAAAAAACGGCATCTTCCCTTGGATCCAAGATGGCGGATTGGGATTCACCTAAGCAAAGGACACTAACTGCTGTCCCTGCAGCTTCTGGTGACTGTTTTACCTTAGTTTCACAAATGCAGATTATGTTGGACAACCTGCATGAAAGAATTAGCAGGGATTTGAATGCCTAGATTGCAGCTGTGAAAAAAAGATGTTACTGAGCTAAAGATCAGAACGTACCACATTGAGACGGCACTCGACGAACACGTAAGTTCACATTCAGAGCTCGAAGGTGCATTTGCTAGAGAATCAGCTTACTTTCATTCCCGCAAAAATGACTGATCTCAAAGATTGGAGCCAATGGAACAATATTCGTGTACAAAATATTGCTGAGTCAATAGCCGCAAATGAGCTTTCAGACTATGTGAAAGGAGTGATTCGTTCAATTTTACCGAACGTCTCTTATTCAGAACTAATAATACATAGGTGCCATATACTGCCTAGGCCAAATGAGGCACCAAATGAGGCTCCAAGAGATATCATTGCTAAAATAAATTTTTACCACGTAAAAAAAGTATTTTCTAGGTGCCGTGAGAAGAGGAAAAACATTTCCTGAGAAATTGAAGCATGTTCATATTTTTCAAGATTTCTCGGCTGCTACTATGGCTAAGAGGAGAGAGTTCCAGGTCTTTACTCAACAAATAAAAAGTAAAGGTATTAAAGCGGCACTGTCATGGCCGAATCCCGTTTTTTTTTTTTTAAATCTCCCTCCCGACTCCACTATATCTAATTGTTTCCCTAGTTACCACCAAATGCCCCTAAGCCCCTATTTTTTAATCTTTATTTTCTGCCTGGATCTAGGTCCTGTGTGCCGCCATCTTTGTGTGGGTAGATGAAGGCCCTGTGGGACACGGACACGTCATCTGCCCACACTAGATAGCACTGTGAAATTTCCGCGGATGCCTAGTTAAACACTTGGGCATTCGAACAGGAATTTCATTTATTCATTCATTCGTCAGAAATACGAAAAAAAGAATAGAAAATTCAAAAGAATGAACGAAAACTACTCCCTCCCTATGTAATATGTAAAAATAAAAGCGGCATGGAGCCAAGCTCCCCGCCACTTCCTAAGCCCATCATGTCCTCCCTCACTCTATGGGAGTCAATATGACCCCCATAATAGCATAAGGGAGATTCAAATCTCCCAAATGCCACAAATAAGGGGCATGTCTACTAAACTGATAAAAAAGACCCTAGTGTCCCCTCTCCCGAGCCCCCAACCCGTGCCATGCGAGTGGGGGCTATTAAACTGAAGGGTCGATCTAGCGTCCCCCCTTTGCCCCCACCCATAAGCGGCGGGTGGGGGCCATAAATGAAAATGGGGGGGCGGAGCCTGGCTATGGAGCTGGTCAGACGTGTGTAACACGAGCTCCAGCCTGAAATTCCACTTTAAGCGAAATAAACTTGGTTCTCATGCTACAATCTCATCAAAAAGGCACCACCCTGGTAGGGGATGCAGGCTGGATCGTACAGAAACTACTCCCGTAACGCTGAGCACCGAGAATGCGGGCTGCATCACTGGGGCCTACCGCAGCAACAACAAGCCTGACTAGAGGCCTAAGTGGAGCTAAGGGCGCGGGTGAGGTGGACGATCACCCAGCCTGGGACTCCCCAAAAGACAATATTAACACTGCAGAGAACCACCCACAAGCCTTCCTCCCCCCGACATCCCAGCAATAGCAACACACCCTCCGCTGACTCACACATCCCAGGGACTACAAGCTCCTAGAGTCAGCAACCCCAAAATGGCCGATGCAACGAGCAAGCCGGCAAACAGGGGGGACTGCGGGGATCAGCTGAATAACACACTGATCAAACTGGATGCATTCCTTGCTGCCTTCTGGGCCGGGATCTCGGAGAGGGCGCTGACCACAGCTAACGTCAAGCGGTCTAATCCAGCGCTACTACCCCCGGTCCCACAGGCCCAAGGGGCGGACACAGACCAAGAGTCACTAGAAGTGGGAAGGTCTGGGAGGGAAGGTCTGCTGCTGATTGGCTGGAATGTGTCTGCTGACTGAGGTACAGGGTCAAAGTTTACTCAATGATGAGTTCGCGGTGAACCGTTCGGGACATCACTAATGCAGAAGCTGTCGTGGCTCTGCGCGCTTGTTGTGAATCTGAGCACATGAAAAATAAAGAATTTTAAAAAATGTAAAAAAAAAGGAAAATGGGGGGACCTATTGTCCCCGTCCCCCACGGCTCCCACCCATGAGTGGCAGGTGGGGGCCCTAAATTACAATAAGGGTTGACCTATTGTCCTCCCTCTGACCCCCACCCATGAGCGATGGGTGGGAGTCCTAAATGACAATAAGCGGGGGACCTATTGTCCAACCCCCACCCATTGGCGATGGATGGGAGCTTTAAATGACAATGGGTGAGGGGCCTATTGTCCTCACCCCCCATTGGTGGTGGGTGGGGGCTAAATGTAACCCCCCCAGGAGACTAGGGGTCCCCAAGCCCCTAGTAAACCCCCCACCAAAATTTTATTTTAATAAATTCCTACCTACCCCCCTCACTATTTTTAGGAACAATAAAGCTAAATACCTATGAATAAAAATACTTACCATTTGATGTCTTCTTTTTTGAAAAACCTTATTTTTTTAGCCCCAAAAAGGACAAATAAAAATCCATAATACCCGTTGAACTTTGAAAATAAAATAAAAAACCTGAGCACCAAAAAAAATAATCCATCTTCACCGATGGAGGCACGGTGCAGACTGAGATCCGCAGGGCGGGGAAAGGCTTATAAGGCTTTCCCACACCCTGCAATAAGGCTCAGAGTGCTCTGATTGGTTGGTTTAAGCCAACCAAACATAGTGCTCTGATTGGTAAATAAAGAGAATGACAGGTACTCATAACACTGAGATTGGTTG